AACTAACCAAACACCCTCCCATCCAACCAAACACCCACCTACCCACCTACCCAACCAAATACCCACTCACCCACCCACTCACCCACTCACCCACCCACCCACCCACCCACTCAACCAACCAACCAACTGCCTAACCAAGCAAACACCCCCACTCCTAATAAAAAGCAACTACAATAAATGAACAAAACACAGAAAACCAATTCTTGAAACTTGGTTAACACTGCAGACGCTGGCCAGGATGAGTTGGATCTAATAAGAGATATGTCAAAATTTTAAAAGAAAGCATTGGAGAACAAAATCTGTCCATGCTTTTGAAAAGCTCTAACATTCCTGACAAGGTAGAAGGGTCAACAAGGGGCTAACCTCTGATTAACTTACAGGCAATGGCAGGTTCTTGCTGGTGCATTGCATACATGTAAAACATACAAAAACTTTCTCAGCAAAGAAAGGACTTAGAAGCACAGAGGATCTAAGGATACCTCTGTGCAGTCTTTAGCTGATCACTAATCTGAGGGATGTAAAGATAACACTGTGTAAGCATTAGCTGGCCGTTAAGCCGAGGAGCCGTTTCTGTGAATGCATATAACAAAGGATCAGGTTATTATTAGGTATATTATAACAAGCTAGTTAGACAAATATTAAGTGGTTCAGGAGAATCAGTAAACAAATCAAACAAAATGTACCACTAGCAGCAATAACAACAAATTCTAGAGAAGGATCATGTCTTATTTTTAGAGATGTCACTTTTATTTATTTATTTATTTATTTATTTATTTATTTATTTATTTTGGTTCTTTGAGACAGGGTTTCTCTGCATAGCCCTGGCTATCCTGGAACTCACTCTGTAGACCAGGCTGGCCTCGAACTCAGAAATCTGCCTGCCTCTGCCTCCCAAGTGCTGGGATTAAAGGCGTGTGCCATCACAGCCCGGCGAGATGTCACTTTTAGTTTACTTAAAGCACCTATTGTTCAATTAAAAAATAATGAGAAGTGCAAAAAAACCCCAGGAGAGTATGACCCATTTTCAGAGAAAGAATATGAGTATAATAATTGGTCAGTATGTACTGTCCCTGAGGAAGCCTAGACACTGGGCACACTGTCAAAGACTTTAGATCATTCTCCATATGCACAGGAAAAGAACAAAACACATTCAAAGACTCAAAGCCCAGGGCAGCAATACTTTCTAAGCAGAGAGCAGATCTCAGTAACAAGATACAAAGCTAAAGAGAGGATCAAATTCAAGTCTGAGGTTTAAAAAGCAAAAATTCAGAAGTGAAAAGTTGCGTGACGTTTCAGAATGCACACAGGAAATGGTCTGTGAGTTGAAGAGAGCTTAAGGAACAGGAAGGAGAGCAAGAAAAAACCAACAGTTTCAGAGAGCAAAGACTAGACGATAGCTGGAAGGATGTTTAGAGAGACAATCACTATCAATATCCCAAATTAGACACAAAACACTGATTTATATATTCAAGAAATCCAGTAAGCACTTGGTTGATTAAAAAGAAACAAACTCCCAAACGTAGTACAGCAGAACCAAAACTGTTCAAAGCCAGAGAGAATCTTGAAAGTGACATTAGAAGAATAAACTACCGTGTCCAAGAGCACTTTACTACGACTGACTACGGCTTCTTGATGAAAACGTCGGAGGACAGAAAGCAAAGGGGCCAAATGGTCAAAGCAGAAAAGGAAAAAAGACATCACCCGAGAATTCTATGTCTAGAAAATCATCCTTGAAAAAAAAAGATAAATGTCTAGACAACCAATTATGAATGAATTCACCAGCAAGGGTGGAGAGTAATCTCTCCCTTATCAGCTCTACCGCATAGCAGACAAGAGACAGGGGGCCCTCTCCTGGGCTGGTGGTCATTTCAGGCTAGGTCCCTGTCCGGGACCCGTGGTGCCAGACTGGTGGTCGTTTGGGTGTGTCCCTTGCCCTTGGCCTGTCTGAGGACTGCCATGTGAGAGTCATCTGTCTTGGGCTCACTCCTGCCCAGGTCCCAAGGACCCCAGGTAGGGTTTTCTAGTCTCCAGCTTGTTCCTCGTCCTGGGATCTCATCAGGGACTGTGTAATACCAGATGGCCAGTTGTCTCAAGCTAGCTCCCTGTGTGGACACCCTGGTGCCAGGCTGGACCAGTGGTCATCTTAGGCTTGGTTTTTTTTTTTTTTTCAGAGAATGTTAGACTACTAATCATTCAGATGTTCATAGGTCAGAACACTGAGGGTAGACATAACCTTTCTCCTCTGCCACCTACTGGCGCACATGTGACACAGCAGCCACACCTGCAATGCCTCTAGGGGAAAGGGTCTAATGTATACTTATAATTCATTTTATACTCTGATTCAGAAGACAGCTTCCTAAATAAGTAACACTAAAGTGTTGCTGATGAACTTACAGTGCACAAAGATGTAATTTGTTGCAACATCAACAGAAAGGAAAGAAAAGGGATCAGAGCAATATTGGAACATCTCTTATATTAGTAACATTGTATTAGATGGATACAATTTGTCTAAGTTAAAATGTTCTCCTGTAAAATCTAAAGCAACAATAGGAAAGTAGCACCAGGTGTAGTGGTACGTGCCTGCACACAGACACTCACAACGGCCCTCACACTGAGTCCAGCAAGTCCGTAGATGCAAGAGCAGCATTAGAAATCGATTGTGTCTTGCAGCTGAGAAGATAGAAGGTGATACAGAGCTTGCTATGGAAGGGTCTGAGTTCAATCCCTAGCACGTGTATAAAAAGTCTGTAATCCAGCGCTGGGAATGCAGAGACAGAAGGAACCCTGGGACTTGCCGGCCAATCAGTCTAGTTGAATTGGCAAGCCTTGTGTTCAGTATCAAAAATCAGGGTGGAGACTGGTTGAGAAAGACTTTGAGGTCAACATCTGGGCTCCACACACATGCACACACATGTGCATCTGTACACATAAGAATTTGTACTATATATAGACATAAATAATAATTTAAAAACAAATCAACTGTATGTCTATAAAATAGCAATGTGTACTCTAAATTTAAATATAAACATAGGATTTAGAGCTAGAAACATACTTAGGCATAAATTTAACTAAAAAAAGTGCAAGACCTGTACACTGAGAGCCAAGTAGACATCGTGGGTAGAAATGAAACCAGACTTGAGAAAATGAAAAGACACTCCTTGTTCACGGGTTCAGAGAACTTCCTGTCAAGTTGACAGTATTTCCCAAATTGTCCTTCAGATTCAATGGAGTCCCAATGAAAAGAACACCCACAGAAATGTATATGGAAACAGAGTACTACTCAGAAGCCCCATTCCCCAGGCATTTATCCACACAAAAGTCTGCATAGTCTGCATGGGTATATTCACAGCAGCTTTATTTTTTGCAGTTGGATAATCTGCATATAACTAAATCCATAAACCTAAAGTTCTCTGTTGCCCGCATGTTTTAAGATTTGGAAGGGCTCTAGCACTTTAGAGAGAGCATTAGCGTCTGCTCGGCTGACTCCTACTCTGTCCCCAAGGCAAGTCCTACTCTCATCCATTCACCATTTTGCATGAATGGGGTTGACTACCATATATTCCTTTATACCTGACACCTCCGCTCTAGAACGCTTGAATTCCTCCTGTGTACAGTCTGTAAAGCTTATTCACTTTTTATTGCCTCTCAGTATTTTATTGTATAAATACACATATTTGCTTATTCATCCCTGAGCTGAGGTGTTAAGTGCCAGAAACTGCAGTTTTTGGACAGAGGATACCAGAGGGCAGGCCAGCTACAGTAGCCTAACCTTAGGTCTTACCCACTGCTGATGCTCTTCCCATCCCCCTTGGCTGCCTCAAGAAGAACTGACGAGGAGGAAAAAAAGATCACCTTCTCTTCCCACCAAGCTGGGGTTGGCTCCCGGCAGGCCACAACTCTCGGAACCTGGGGTACATGACAGCACATAACTATCCCAAGCCTGTGCTGAGGGGTGCAAGGGGTTTCTTCCAGTTCCTTCTTGAAAAGGCCAGTGGGAGTCAGAGCCAATCCATTTAGCCTTTCTTGTGGTCAAAGAAGCCTCTAGAGGGCACTGTGTGAGCATGTCTCCAGGCCAGCTGGCTGTGGACACATGGACTTGATGGGTCATTACAGTCATACTAGAAGGCGGAGGAGGGTGACCTCAATATTTGCAAGTGGCCCTCTCCTTGTTCCCTTAGGACCAACTTGTGGCAGAAGATAGGAAAGAGCTCAGGATGAGAAGTTTAGTGGCCAGGAGCCAAAGACAGCAGAGCCAGGAGGAACTGTGAGAGGTGACAATTCACCATGGCCAAATAATGTGCTCCAACAGCAAGGCATTTTGGTAACAGAGGAGTTACTGAATTTTGGAGAGGACGATGTGGCTACAAAGTTGCACCCTAGGGTCTAGGCAGACTGAATGGGCTACGTGCATTCAATACTGAGTATCAGACATCCTGGGCATTCAGGACTGAGAGACAGTGACAGGAGTCTAGCTCCCAGCATATCACACAGGTAGGCCAGCATATCACACAGGTAGTCAAGCCCTAATAACCAAGCTGGTGTTCTTGATATTCCATCAGATGGTAGTTCAAGGGCCAGGCCCAGAGCCAGAAATGGGCAAACACAGGCCACTGAAGAGTCAGACAGGGCCCACTTTGACCTCATGTCATTAGGAAGTCATGAAAGGGCCTGGAGCCTCAGGCTTGGGCTTGAGGCTCACAGATGAATTCCAGATACTCAAAATCTCAGTAGGAGCAATGGCTGTCAGAGCCCGCTCTTCACTAAGGGCACAGAAGTACACAGGTTTCGGGTACCATAACCAATTCTAAACACTTTCTACAAGGATGGTGATTAAGACCAGCTTCCTATGTAATTGACTTGGGTCCCAAAGTGTTAGGCTGCATGCACAGCAATTGCTTCAGCCTTTCTGCTGCAGGGCTGCCATAACCGTTGCCCATATCTTTCCCAAGCCAGCATCAGGTACTCTTTTGCATATCCCTGCCAGGGCACTCCACCATCCATGAGAACTCTCTGAGCTTCTCAGCTAGTAGCAGATTGAACCTTGGCTGACTTGCCCCTAACACCTCTGTCTTTATCGTTGACTCTCATCTCTGTGGGCTCTAACACATCATTCCTTTAGCATGTCTGGGACAGACCAGTCCTTTCTGCTGTTTGCATTCCCTTTTCCCAGAATGGAATGTTCTCTCCTGCTCTGTCTACCTGACAAGTACTAAGTCAGCCTTTAGTTGTTCAAAGTTCACCTTGACACTTTACCTGACCAGCCTTAACCTGGCACCATGTAAAACACATATTTCAGGTAACATTGAATTGCTGACCACAGATTCATTTCCCCTCTTTATTTCTTGCCAAGAGGATTCTGAAATTATCCAAGTATTCAACTTCCTGGAAGATAATCCTTCTGTGGCTAAAGAATAAACATCAGATAGGCCAAGCCCAACATTCCAGCCTTACTCTTCCCACAGCATGACACCAGTGCCAAGCTCTTGCCATGGTTACTGCCCTATATCTCCTGAAACTAATTGTGGGGTACAATCTTCTCAGTTCCAACAGCGGCAGACTCAGAAATGGTCTGCTATCAAATGAATTGAGAGCAGCTACCATCTTCCCTTAGATCTGCCTCTGACCTACTGTTTACTAGGGTTGGCTGAAGACCCACAGAGAGGCCACAGAATCCGAGACCATTAAAAATTGCCCCCTCTTTTATACCAGTGAGTTGTTCTTCCCTCTAATTTTTTACCCTTACTTGCCTTTCTTCAGAAACTGTTCACTAAGTGCCAAATGTATGTTAGATGTAGTTGGTTTTGCATCTGAACTTCCCCCAAGGGCCCATGTGTTGAAAGCTTGGTCCTAAGTTGGTAGTGCATTTTGGGATGTTCTTGAAAGGTTAGGAGATGGGGTGGAGCTAGAGGTAAATAGGTCACAGGGAGAGGGGCTTTGGTGATATCTGATCCCTTCCTCTCTCGCTCTGCTGGCTATGATGCTAGAGCCTTCTCTGACATAATGCTCCTGCCACCAATGATGCTCTGCCCAAGTTCATGTGGACCCAATAGCCATGGACCAAACCCTTTGAAACCATGGAACTAAGCACATCTTTCTTGTTTTAAGTTGTTTGTGTCATGTATCTGGTTATAGCAAATAGAAAAGTAACTAATTCAGATACTTGATATTCAAAAATGAATAGGACAAAGTTCTTACCTACACCATACTCAGTTTTTCTAAGAGCGATGTGATCAGAACAGTAATATTATGTAACAGGGCTGCTGTAGAGTTGTCTACTATAGATTGCTTAGGCAGAGAAGGAGTCCTAAAAGGCTGTTGGAAGCCCTCAGAGGCTCTTACAGGAAGAAAACTATGATTCATGTCACAACCATAGAACGAATTTAGGTTCAGTTTCCTGGAACTTGTTCAGTCCTTGCCTATCAGCTCATGTTGCAACAGAAGAAGATAAACTAGCTCCAAGTGAGTCATACACCTTCATAGGAGGCTAGAGCCTGCAGAATGGGTTATCCCTCTGAGAAAGCTAAGGAGCAAGAGCACCAGGACAAACCTTTCTCAGTATAGAGGCCTGGCTAGACCATAAGCACAGAGAACCCATGGTCAAAGAGAAACAGGGCTGGGCAACAGTTATAGTTGCAAAACAGTATTCTCTTCTGGGCTTGCATGAAGGGAGAAGAGACTTCACGCGTATCTGACTTAGTTTTGTAGGAATAAAGGGGACTTGGAATCAAGGGTCAGAGGAGACATAGAGGTAAAGGGAAATCGACAAAAGCCACCAAACAGGGTTCTTGCTAAAGACAGACCAGAGTAAGCAGATGGTGCCAGGGCGATGCTGGGAGAGAGGGAGGCTCGCTGCTGTCACTGGAATTGGATAAGAACATGGATGGGCCTCGCAGAAGGCACAGGAAGCTGACTGTGGGTTTCCCTTCTCCTTGGGGGTCACTAGGCACTAACCCTCGAGCATGGAGGAAGCAGGAGCTGCGAGCAGGGTTTGTACAGCTGAGAGTTTGCCAGAAGGACTTCTGGAGACAGCTTCAGGGAGACAGCTCTACTTTATGTTTCAGGGGTAGGGCATATAAGGATTTTTGACGTTATGGGCAGAAAGGGCTGATAGGTCATAATGCAGTACCTCCTGATCATATGGCGGGAATGGCTGAGCAGACACACGTGCTGAACCATGCAGCACTTGCAGGAAGCTCTCTGCAGGGCCATCCTCTAGATAAGGTCAGGCACCTGTGCTTAGAGATGCTCTCCAGATAAGACCAGTGGAGAGGAGGGAGCCCCAGTGAGAAAGGGAGGCCTCCATTTTACACCAAGCTTGGAGAGTTATCTGGATGTGGTGGACCGCCACCTTAAGAGCAGGGTCTTCCAACAGACTTTGGCTTAGTTGGAAAGGACTCTACAGATACAGTAACAGAAAAAGACAGGACCAACCTAGAACCCATGGACCGAGCTGGGGCACTGGTTCCTGGGGTAAAGTGCTCACTGTGTGAGCGTGAGGGCTTGAGTTGGGATCCCAGCACCCACATAAACATTGGGCATTGGGTTCCATGTTCCTCTCCTCATTGCTGAGGAGTGAGGACAAACAGGTCCAAGGAGCTCACCTGTCAGTAAGCTTAATGGAAATGGTGAACTCCAGGTTCACTGAGAGACATTGGCTCAAAAATTAGGGTGGAGAGGCAGGCATGGTGGCTCAGACCTTTAACTCCAGCAGACAAATCTCTGAGCTCAACAGTCTGGTCTTCAGAGCTAGTTGTCTCAAACAAAACAAAACAAAACAAAACAAAACAAAACAAAACACAAAACAAAACAAAATAAAATTAAGGTTGTGAAGAAATGGAAGAAGACAAATGGATGTCAACCACTGACCTCCCAGTCATTAAGCATGCCTTCCACCCCAGTGCACCACCCAGTGCACATGCACACACACACACACACACACACACACAGAGACACACACCAGAGCATACACCCCCAGTGCACACACACACACACACACACACACACACACACAGAGACACACACCAGAGCATACACCCCCAGTGCACACACACACACACACACACACACACACACCAGTGCATTTACCCCCAGTACACACTCCCAGTGCACACACACATCAGTGCATTTACCCCAGTGCACACCCCCCAGTGCACACTCACACCAGTGCACACACACACCAGAGCATACACCTCCCAGTGCACACACACCAGTGCATACACACACCTGGGCACACACACCAGTGCACACACACTCCAGTTTACACACCCAGTACACACAAATGTATCCACAACAAATCCACAGTCATGTTTTGAAAGTACAAATGTTTATGATTCTGAAAGCCCAACGAATATTAGGAAGAGTTCTGTCATGTTCTTCAGGTTTGGAGACCCCGACCGGAGGATAGGATTCATGCTCAGGGTTGGGTGGCTTCCTAATCTACAAGCTTTAGCATGGAGGGAATGAGCAGCTGATTTAGCCAATGATTACACAAGTCTGAGTCTCTCAGGCCACAGTGTACTTGGGTCAGGACAGGTATTTGTAATCCAATCTAATTCTTGCTATTAGGATGGTGTAGGAATTTTCCTCCACTTAGAGTCTAACATTTTCTGTTAAATGAGTGTCCCGATTGGTAGAGCTATGTGACTCTTTCTCAGTTCCCACGGCTGTGTTCTCTCATAGAGGTGCGCTCCCACACGCTCACTGGCTGCCTGATAATGATGCTTATCACCTAAGAGAACTGCTAGAAATCCATGTTCCTTGGTTCCTCCTCCAAAGATCCGGATTCAGTAGAGAGGTCAGAGCCAAGGCATCTGTGTGACCTGTACCCAGGAGCTTCTGTGAGGGGAAGGAATGACCCACAGGCTCCTGCAAGCTTTTCATGTTGATGTTTCTGTTTGCTCAGAGGTAATGCTAGGGTGGACACTATACACGTACCTAGAAATGACTCAGGGGAGAGGTGAAAAGGAAACCCAGGCTGGTCACACTTTCTGGGTCAGAAGCATTGGATGAGAAGCATCAGAAACCAGGAGACAGAAGACTAAAAGCCAGATGAGGTGTCCCCTAGCCCCATCCCACTCATGGTCAGGGCTGAAGCTGCAGGGGCTGTGCTCATACTTCTTGCCCTTGTTTTATTTTTTGACATTTTCAGAGGTCAGTGCCCACGAGGTTCAGCAGGGCGGTCTTGTAGTAACCACTGGTGTCGGCCTGGAGGGAGGAGGCACAAAGCAGAGGGGTTAGAATGGGTTTTATGATGTTGGCCTCTCTTCTGTTTCCATTTCTAAGAGTTGTGCTCCTTGGGAGGGGCCTGTCCCTTCAAGCGTTTCTATGCCACAGTTCTATGTGATTCCCTCACTCTTTCCTCCTTGTTTCAGACTATTCTTCTGATTCTTTGTCCAGCCTGATGGGGGATGGTTGTGGGAAATGAGTCACAGACACAGATCCACTCTTAAGCCCTTAGACAAGGAAGTCTTGTGAGTGGTTTCCTTATGCAGTCAACTGCCCCAGGCTCCTTCCCCATGCATTTCTCAGGATCCAGGAGTACAGAGCCATTCACTTATTCAACCTGAGCCACATATATTCATCACCTGTTACTGCAAAGCTGAAAGCAAGAAATCCAGAATCACATCTAAACATAGAGCATGAGTCAGTCTAGGTCATGCAGGTCTAGACCATAGCTCTGTCAACATATACAGACTCTCCTTTTACCTCTGTGAGACATGTTCTCTCATCTATAAAATTCCAGCTGTGATGAGGTGCACCTTGTGGATGGCCTACTGGTAGCCCAGGTTGGCTTGTGATTAATCTCTCATCCCCTGACCAAGTTGGTTGTGAAGTCTAAAACAAATAATAATCCCAACTCCTCTATCTTACTGCCAGTCTCTCTGATGCCATCCTGCCTGAAATTTCTTAAAGTAGTGTTTTAAAAATACACCGTTGTCCCTCAGTGTCCATGGGAGAATGGCTTTAAGACCCCTCAGATACTAAACTGAATACGTTCAAGTCCCCAATAGGAAATGCTGCTGGTCTTGGATATAACCTATGTACACCCTCTTATACATTAAACAATCTTTAGATAGTTTATAATATTAAATGCAATGCAGATAATATGTAAATACTCATACAGTATTGTTCAGGGAATAATGACAAGAAAAAAAAAAGTATGTGCTTGTTCAGTACAGATGCATTTTTTTTCCTGAATGTTTTTGGTCTTTGGTTGTCTGAACCAGCAAATGCAGAGGTTCATTGTAAACTATTAGTTGCCTATGTAATGTAGTCAACAATCCTCCCTGGTAGAAGAACTAGCCACTTGACTGAGTAGCTAAGGGACTTTCTTGTTGTGATTTGACTTCCATCAATGGTACTGTTAATAAAATGAAATTGGTAGATAGGCTGTTTGTCTCAGTCCTAGCAGGATTCCATCCCTCTGCACTTAATACCCTGGGACTTTCACTAACTGGAATGCAGGTAGGCAATCCACTGGAGCCTAAAATTTCCCTGCTTGGAATACTTAGATCTAGGATTGAAAGGGAGCCCTGATTTCTATGAAACGACTTTGTCTCATTACCCCTTCAGAAATGGTTCCTTTTGCAAAGTATTGGTCTATTCCACAGCTCAAATGTAAAGCCACTTTCTGAGTCAAGGGCAGCCCTCTGTGCTGCTTTAGTCTCCACATGCTCCCTGGATACACCCATAGTTACACATCTCTCCTTCCTGGTCTCTGTGCCATACGGTAACTGGTGCAAGTGTGAGATGCCCACTGGGAAGGGATGGTCACCTGTGACATCAGTCATGGCACCTCACATCCTAAGAATGCCTGTATCACAAGCTGGCAGTAAAGTTGGGAACTTGTTCCTTACCATGATCATGCTGCTGAGAGTCTTGCCGTACATCTTCTGAAACTGACCCTTTATAAGATTTAAGTCAATTTCACTCCTGGAAACAATGTTCCTTATCAGTGTCCCATCACGTGTCCCTGCTCCCTGGATAAGACAGTGACAGTCAGATATCGTGTTTCACATTTTCTATCTACCTCTGTAAGGATGGACCAACCTGTGTAGGGATTTGTAAAGAGCCAGAAGTGCAGGAATGGGCCTTTATGCAGTGCAGAGCACATCAAGAGGGGGACTTTGGTGACATAGGTTTTTTTCCCCCAAGAGTCTATTCTTTAGTGGTGCTAGGATTGAACCCAAGAACTTGTGCATGCTAGGCAAGTGCTCTAGAACAGAGCTGCATCCACAGTCCATGACAAAGAGATCCTCTTTTTCAATCTCCCCATTCACTGGCCGTGCCTTCTCTTATTAGGAGCCCAATGCCTTGAGTTGCAGTATGCATTTGATTTACTGCATCAGACTATAGTCACAAAACACTCACTACTCCAGGAAGACTTTTTCTTTGAGTAGCATCACTGAAATGTTACTCAACTGGCTGTTCCACAAGCAGGATCTTACAGCTTTCTCTGTCATCCATGCCTGGTCTTGAGTAAGATGGAGCTTCATGACCAAGGAAATAGCACCTTCTCTCCTTCATGGGGCAGATGTGTCCAGAGGGCTTGGGGTTGATGGTACGATTCTTACTTTAGATGGTGCCAGCATCATGTACTAGAGAAGCTGGGCACTGACGTTAGTCCCTGAGAATTACTTTAAATGCCTCTCTTCCAGTTTAATTCCAGATACCAATAATTCTACTCGGGAAAAGCAACATGGCCATCTGTTTCTGAGGCCAGGGCAGCCTTGTGGGCAACAGGAAATCTGAACTTAGCACCTGATCATGGGTAGGAAAACTGACATGCCAAATGTGACAATGTCCCCAGAGTCTGTCCATGTTAAGGGGATTGGAGTTCCAGCCATGCCTTCCTATTGTTCTCAGTGAGGAGGTATAGCACAATAAAACGCACAAGCTAATGGGCTGGAGATCGATACATGGCTCTTCCATGTCAAAGGGGTGTGACCTTGCACAAGCCTTGGTCTCACCACACTTCACATGGCAATGGTGATATGTACCACGAAGAGTTGATGTCAAGATTCTGTAAGCCTTCAATGAACACTTGTCAATGCACCTGCTCAAATGTACCTTCAGCGGATGTGGCGTCCCTCTCCTAGGCTTAGTTTCCCCTCTAAGAAAGCAAATCCTTCTGACACATGAGAGACTAGACCAAGAGAGACCCTCGTGTTCAGATGGCAGGGGCTCTGAATACCCTTGTTGTACATCTGACCTCATATAGGGCTGACTACAGAGGAGGGAGCAGCCAGGACAGTTACCTTCATGGCGTAGTAGAGTCTCTCTGCAAAGTAGCTGTGGATGTTCCGGGTGCATTTCACTGGCAAACAGGAAAACTCTATTAATGGTAGGAGGGTGTAGGTGGCATGGCATACACTTGTATTTGCTTATGTGTATGTGTTTATGTGTTAAAGGTTAGTATTATGCAAGAGTTAGCATGTTTCTTTGTGTGGCACCTAGCTTCAAAACAAAGGCTTTGTGTGGGGCAGAGAGTGGGGCAAGGAGCAGAGCCTGGGGGAGTGGGCACAGCTCCAAACACCCAGAATGGCCAGGGAAAAGGGCGAGATGTGAAATGCACTGGCCACCTGTGGGACTCATCTGAAGTCACCAAGTCAGGTCTGCTAGAGGACATTGCTAAGCTGTCACATCCAGGAAGCATTTCCTTTAAGAATTTGGTTACTCAGCCACACATAGGTTGGCACAGACCAATGGCTATGTCTTAGAGTACCCTGTGAGTGGGAACTCACATTTAGAATTTTCATGTAATGAAAGAAGCTTAGCTTTGAGGACTAAGGCACCAGGAATTCTTGGTCCGGAGTGTGGACCCCAAATTTTCCTCTCTATAGATATACCTTTCATGGACTATGGTATCTGCGTTGGGAGATGGTATTTTAACCCAAGCCTGCGAGTGTGGGCTTTGTGGGAGGTAGGAATGTGTGTAAAGTCTGTCGTGACACTGTATGACTTTGTTACTCAACCTTCTGACACACCTGTGACATGAGAGTCACTGAGGCTTTAAGAAGAAAATGACCAGGAACATAGGGTCTATGGATAGAATTCTAGGTGACAACAGAGGGCAGGTCTAGCACTTGCAACATAGAATAAACTGATAATCCAAATAAACTTCACCACAGTCATCAAAGCTGGCCTAGAACCCTCAGATGTTAATAGCCACTTGACACATAGGGATAGAGGGATAGAGGGAGGAGGCCTTGGCTACTGGCCTCCATATAGAGGCAAGCCTGGGGTAGAGGTAAGTGCCTGGCCTTGAAGCCCTCATCTCAGCTCCATATGTGAGATGGTATAGGGATAGTCCTTCTGCCTGGCTTGGGTCTCTGCTCAGCCATGACTCTTTCCATATGGTTTCAGCTTTAGACCCAAGAGGTGCTATGAACTGGTTACTGTACATGGATTAGGTCTTCTGCTGCAGGATAAGGTTTCTATGCTCCTCTTGGTTGGGACTCATACACTATCATTTCTTCAGTGAGCAACTAAGGTGGGGGCTTGTACCTGGATTAGGCGCAGAAAGGTGGCTTTGAGCAGGGCTACAGGGCAGAAGCAGAATGCTCTCTGAGTAGTATCTGGGGGGTAGGCCTGGGTCCTGGACCTGAAGTCATTGTGGCAACACTCATGTGTCCACAGATACTTACATACAAACACACATTCGTGCCACATGGAGAATTGAATAGACAGCACAAAGAATAGTTCCTGGCAGGTCACAATGAGACTTTTGAGCTATTGCTGTCCCAGGGACCTGGGCTGAAGGGTGTGGGTTTAGAGTATTGGGAGTAGGGGATGTTCCTTGAATACAGAAATCCAGTCATTTGCTATCACTTTCCTGGGCTGTGGATGCGAATGTGCAGAGAGCCAAGCCCGCTTCTTACCCACAGTGAGCATGGCCTCTTCCAGTGAACCATGGGTCTCACTTTTGATGCTATCCTCAATGCTCTTGTTGGCAATTTTTTCATATTCCTCGAACACTACAGAGAGAAAGATCCACATAAGGGACACATAGATGACATGCTGCACCCGAGTACAGTATGAGCACACCTCTGCCTCCGTCCTGGCACAGGGGAAGAATCAAGGTCTCCATGGCTCTCCCCAAGTCTAAGACACATAAGACTACACATCAGACCTTCCACATAAAGGAAGAGGCCACATGGCTAGGGCAGCCACACACCCCTGAGTTTCCCACTTCTGCCCTGTACCTCTCATTAGGTGCGTGGCACTGCGTGTGCACAGGATGGTGATGAACTTCATCTCATCAGTTCCAAGAATCTTCTCACCCGCTGCATGCAGGTCCTACAGTTGGGACAGGAGGAGGTGGAAGTGAGGGAGAATTCTAGCACCTCAAAGGTGGTGTCCAAATGGATGGACAGCCCAACATGGCGGCTCACAGTCCTGAGCTCCTGTTCCTCCAACAGTGTTGGCTTAAGGCTCCCTCTGTTCTGAGCCATCAGCTACTTTAGAAAACTCTCCTTCCATCATTGTCTCTGGGAGCACTGAGTAATAAGCACTCTACCAATAGATACACAAAGATGTGCACATGAGCGAGCTCGGCCTCAGAGGGGCTTGCTCTGCCTGACAGCCTTAGCTCCTCCCTTCCCAGCTTCTCCGTTTTTCTTTTCTTCTGCTGGGTTTCCCAGATATCCTGCTTTCCTCCTTAGTCACCACATGGTGGAGGCTGTAGAGTTGGTTCTGTATTAAAGAAAGCTTCCCTTGGCAAAGGGGATCATAAAGCTCAGAGTTCAGGTAGTAAGGCCACGGTACAATTTCACCTGTGCATCTTGAAGGACCAGTCCCGGGTCCACATAGCCGCTCACATCATCTCTGCTGCCCTAGGATCAGAGAAAAATCACTCTGTAAGGTAGGTCAGGACTCAGAACACTGGGCTGAGGGGACAGTGGGGTGCAGAGGGCAGGTAGGAAAAGACTATTGCTTCTTGTCCATGAGACTTGCAAACCAGCTGTCCTCACCAAGCCTTGCTATTGGCATTTGTGCCATAAGAGTAGATGAGCGACTTCATTGGAATGGTGGATTTAGTGAGCCAAGCTAGTGAGCAGAGCCTGGCGTGGGGCCATTCAAAGGCTGAGGAAAGAGAGGCACGAGGCTCTTAGGGAGGACCCTCCTATCATGCTGAGAAACAAATGGTGTCCCCAGATCGATGGGTTTCCCCATAGCCCAGCCCTCATTCAGAATCATGACTCAAAGGCTGTGCTGAGATGGATCTCTTTGGATCTCTAAGCCACAGAGTCCTGGAGCCCAGGTTGTGTTACCTGCAGGAGACACACCAGAATCCGCTCCAGATAGCCACTTGTATCTCCTTGGATGTCTTCTTCCAGGGTAGATCCGTAGTCTTCAGGAAAACAGAACCAGAGGGAATGGACACTGAGTGATCAGTGACACATCAGGGACCACTTTCCTCCTCCAGACTTGGTTCCCACACTTCTCCCTTAGTTGTAGATAGCCCTGGCCTTGTATTTTGATGCTAATTCCCCTTTCCTGGGAAGGGCTGCAGAGGAGTGAATCAGTACACAGGTGAATTCTACTGAACCTTCTGCCACCTTAATTTGTAAAATAAAGGCTAGAGTCAGTGACTGGGCAGTAGAAGGGGTGGAGAAATAAAGGTTTGTGGGAAGAGAGAGAGAGGATGGGGAGGAAGACAATGGAGGAGAATGAAGAAGAAGAAAGACGACAAAGGAGCAGGAGGTGAAAGGACAAATGCATGACTTGGAAAACCTGCAAGTTATAAGGGTCTCATAGCTGGGGAATAGAGTAGTGTAGTGGTGAATCTGCCCAATCTAGGTGTGCAGCATATATTCATAATTATTGAGTTGTGTTTTCTTTGACCGGGCATATTTGGGTTGGAGATTTACTGCAACAGCAGGACAAGTTCTTGGCACAGAAAGTGTGTACACCATTTAGGTGTCCAAATGGCAGCCATCTATCTAGGTAATGATTCAGATGTTGACATAAATGTGCAAGCAAGCCAGAGAGCAGAGAGCCTGCAGATTGAGACCATTTTATTGCCAGGTTGAGCAAAGCCAGTCTTGGCCAGAAACACAACATGGAGGACTGGCTGGCCTTTGCTTGCCTGGCAAGCTATGTACTACTATGTGGGAGAATTGGCCAGTGGGGCTCCCCTAGGATAATGAGGATCTAGCAGATGATCCTCTTTAGTGTCTGGGTCAGCCCATGAACAGCCAACAAGTACTCTTGTCCACTGTTGCCTCTCTTCCCCAGCACTGCCACAGCATTAAGGGACATGAGCTTAGCTGGGCACACATCTCTTTCCCCACATCTGAGCCATGCTGAATCACTGTTGGGCACAGGATTTGGCACACCTGGGCAATTGTTGGACTCATCTCAAAAGACCTTCCAAAGAATCCTGTCCACTCTGGCTGAGTTCCCTTGGGAACTTCCTGACTCCTTTTCCCTATCAGACTGCCAAAACGTAGGCCATCCCTAGATTTCCACCCCACCGTCTTTGCAACCCCTTACCTTCCTCATACGCCTTCATTATCTCTCTCAGCTGGTTCTTGGTCCGAGAAGCCAAGATCTCAATGATGACTCCTTCTTTGGTTCCTAAGCCCTGGGGACAGAAACCTCTATGTTCTGGAGTGCTCTGCTTTTGGTCTCCTGCCCTGCCTGCACTGTCTTCTCAGAAGCTTTGGCCACTGCCTCTTCTGTCCTCTTCTGTTGGAGGGTGACATTGAATCCCCACCATTGTTTCTTGGGACAGCCACTGGAGACAAGCTACCTCAACTCTCCTTTAGCTGGTCTCACCTAGGTGGCTCCACCTTCCTACCCATAAGCATACTCATCTGTCAATGAAGATAGTAAGGCATCTCTACCCTAAATGTGACCTTAGAGGTCACAGCTCCAAAATGCCTGGCATAGATTGTACTGAGTATCCTTTCAGTGGAAATGCTTGTGGCTTCTGGGTCTCTAGTACTACCTAATCTGTGAGTGTAACAGGAGTGGTGAAGCAAAGGACTGCCAACGGGCTGTGCTTGGACTGTAGAGATGGTCTTTTGATTCCCTTGTACTCCTGCTGGTCCAACCATATTCCAAGAAGTACTGATCTAGACCTTCATTGTGACTGGTCAGCCCCACTGCTGGGTGACTGCTGGGGCAGGCCGCAGGCTCGTTAGGTCAGTTGGGGCCCAGGCGGCCATTCTAATGTATGGCAAAGCAGAGTACCTTCATGGCGTCGTGCAGCTCCTTGGCCTCGTATCTGTATGGCGGGTACATGAGGGCCACGATGAGTCTCTCGAATTTGCCACTCAGCTCTGACTTTAAGGTCTCAATGAGGTCCTAAGACAGGCAAAAAGAAGAACAAGATGGCTTATCTTCTAATCCTACTGGAGTGAAGGCAGTAGGTGAGGTCTGGCTTGCAGTCTTTCTTCCTTCCCACATGGACTCTGTCCTGTTGGTGCAGTGACACGGATGTGTGACAGCTCAGCACACAGTCTAATACTGGGCACATTTTAAACTCAAGAAAATAGGATTGCCATTGTTTTCAGAACTGTAAGATCAGAGGGTGGTGTAGCGTCATGCTTAACTCATCATTAAGAGATTCCGTGAGTAGAGGGAAAGAGGGGAGAGGGGAGAGGGAAGAGAGGAGGAAAGGAAAGAAAGAGTCCAAGATTCCATCTCACACTCATCTCTTCCTAAGGGCACACATGTCTACAAGAAGCCACTAGGCCACACCCAGCTGATTTGTACAGGGCTGTCAGACCTGTCACTTGAGAGTTCTGGAATCTTAGGAAATTACTCAACTTCTCTGATGTTGAACACAGAGGATAATGTGTAGCTTGGAGGGAGTTACATATGGTTTCACTTGGGGACACTTAAAGGGAGAGACTCCAGGCACCCTCATGTCTATGCACAAACTTCTGGCATTCAGCATGTGCCTCCGAACTTCTGGTTCTGTGCTAAGGGCTGTGAGCCCCCAGAGTGCCCCTAGAGTATCCGGAGGCAGACGAGGAGCATGCACGTAACTCTACTGTGAGCAGCACGTGCCTGCCTATGCTGTGCAGAAGGGAGCCCGGCATGCATTGCCAGGGATCAGGGAAGAGGAAGGTCAGTTTAGGTAGTAGGACAGACAAAGCTGGAGAGAGCTTAGGCTTGATCCTGAGGGATAACCCAGACTGCAGTGAGAGAGAACGGGGAAGAAATGGGGCTAGACCATGCAAGGCTAATGACAGGCCAGGGCTTGGGAGCTATAAGTGGGTCTGTCAGAAAAAACAAACAACAACAACAACAAAAAAAACAGAACAGCCAGGGAAACTTGACCACAGATGAGTGGCAGTATTGTTTTAAAGCAATGCCCCCTATGCACACATCTCCATCCTGGGAGGAGCTTCCAGGTCTGTAGCCTGCTTACCTTTCCAAACTGAGCCTTGAAGGACTTGGCAATCTGCTGCCTCTGCGCATTGCTCCTCTTGGTGATCACGTCTATGATGGCCTGCTCATTGGTTCCTGGAGGATTGTACAGTGTGAGACCCCCTCTACCTCTGGGGACATCAGAAAAAACTGCAGGGGGACACCTGACGAGCTGCAAATGCCCAGTTTCTGTGGTATAAACAAGACACCCAGGTAGCTCACCTCCTGGTTCCCTATCTCCAACTTACATAGTGTTGGGTGTGGCTCAGATTTGACTTCATAGCATAGCAACCAAGGGCAGAGAGCTTTGGACACCAGCTGTGGGCCTTTGAAGCATACCCAAGGGAGATGTCCTAAGTCTTTCCCTTGTGTTGGTCACATTAGAGGCATATCACAGAAAAATCCAGACCACTGGGTCTGAGATCCTGCCTTGAAGGTCATGGACAAGTAGGTTCATCTCCTGGAGCCTGCACTTGCTCATATAGGACGTGGGATAATAGTAAAGTTTCCACAGGAAGCAGTGGGTATGAGGATGGAGTCTAAGCCCCTCTGGGGACGGTAATTCTCTTTAGTGTCCTGACTCAGTCACCTCAGCTGAGAGGTGACTCCTACCTGGAGTGAGACCAAGTCCTAGTGTAAACCAGTCCTTTCCCACTCACGGTCATGAAAGCAGTTGGCAGTCTGGTCAGCCAGCATGGGGTGGAGGACAGCTTCAGGGTCCATGTGGCTGATAGCCCTGACCTCAGCACCACACCTAAACACCCATCCCATGCCATGGCAGGCCCGGTGCCAATCCATCTTCTTCTGATGGATTGGGAAGTGTGTGTCTACGCTGTGAAGCCGAAGGGAACCAGTGAGTCCAGAGTCCTGGCAGCCATTCAACAAGTGAGAAATCTCAGACTGATGGCCTTCCCTGCCATGGTTACTTGAGAAGGAACAGTCACCCACCTCAGAGCCGGTGTGATGCGGTAAGTAATGGAGTCACTCAAAATAAAATGGGGGCACCATCTATGCCTGACTGTCTCTGGTATCCACTTTCTGAGGATGTGAGTATGTGAGACTCCAGTGGACAGGCGACGGGTGGTAACTCACCAATCCCCTTCATGGCTTTGTAGAGAGTTTCTGCATCAGGGTCTGGGTTAAAATGAGAGCTACCCTTCACGCTGACACCCTCCTGTTCAACCTACAAGACAAACAGGCCTGCTCATCATGGAAAATACAGGAAAGGTAGGGAGGGCCCCTGGCTTAGCATGCAGTTCACCCTGTTAGGCTAAGGACTTCCCCCGGTCTCTGAGACCAGACGGACCATTGTAGGGCAGTGGCTGAGGGCACTAACATCTTATCTAATAGACTGGTGCAGCTGGGACCAGAGCTTGTAAAAAGAAACTACCTGTTGGCTGAGAGCAGATAGCAGACTGGTCACACACAGCTCTCTTCAGCACCGTGTACAGCAAGATGAGTGGAAATGAATTCATAAGGAATGGCTTTGTGTTTAGATATGGCATCTGTACATGGTATTTTGCTTGTGAGGAAGGCTCTAAGCCTATTCTGGTCTTTCTTGTGGTGAAGTGTGGGTATTTCAGAGTGCCAGGGGACAAGCTGAGCATCTCCAAAGCTCAGGTAGTTTGCAAGACCATGGGATCATATTGGGCAGAGGGTTAAGTTTAGAAAGACCTGCAGGATGTTCTATGGATTGTGCAATAAACTTTATAATTAAAGTACCCAGACCTTGGTCTTACAAGCCACCAATCCAGGACACAGGCAAGGGTCACTTATATGTGTGTTCTGCGTAAATTATCAGATGCAGGGCCCTTCTGATGTGTGTGTTTTAGGGGAAGGGGTGGTAAAGAGTGAAGGGAATTGGGGATAGGATTGAATGAGGGAGACCTGGGTCCTTCAGATGGAGAGTTTAGTCAAACCCATCCTGGTTGTCCACTCACTTGTTCACACAGCTCTTCTGTTCAAATTCTATTGAATGAAATATTGACTAGTTCAAAAACTATTCAAATCCTCACAAGCTACACGGTCCTTACACCATCTGCCTGCCCTTTCCCTTCATGCCTGCTGCTTTCTTTCCTTCCCCTCGCCTCCCCATTCCCTTCCTTTTCTCTTAGTTTCCCGTTAAGTATCCCCCACCTAGCTTTCCTTTTTTCCCTGCACTGATTGTCTATCCATCCTTCCACTCAAGCCTCAGGTTAGAGCCTGAAAATACACAACAGGTCCCCACAGATGGCACATCCTTAAGGTCTTGCTTCTGAGAAAGGAACAAGACATCTTTCTGTATCCTTTGGTTGATTTTCATGTTGATTTTCTATTTCCAGAAATAGAGCTTCCTGTCCCATTTATTGCACCATGTTTTATAACAGGAATGGTTAGAAATATTTCCTGGGGAAAGTTTCTCCAGTGAGCCAGATGCTGCCCCACTGTACACACACACACACACACACACTCACTCCTTGCTTCTGAGGTCATGTTTTGCTACTACTAGAAGTCTATTTGAGCATTCTCTGTAAAGTACATTAAACATGTCGCTCAGCTTGTCACCTTCTCCAGGAGTGGGATTAGGTGCTAATGCTCCATTTTACAGGCTAGGAGCCTGGGTTTGGCGGCATAGCTAGTAAGCTGGCAATTCACCCACAGCCTGATTCAGAACCTAAGCTCTGTCTACCTCCCCCACTCTACAGATGATTCACACTTTTCCAGACACTGGGTTTTATTGGAATGTTTCACTGCAGAGAGCCTCACCCATAGACATGTGGGTTTTCTGTGGAGTGTGGGGAGAAGAGCATTTAAGTTCTCACTTCCTCGTTTTGCTGCCTGATCTGAATTAGTGTCAGAAACCTAGTCATTGAGGAGTGTCCCCCACACCATTGAGGGACCCATATTTGTCAGCAAGCCCCAGGGATGGCTCAGATATCACCCAGAGTAGTCTCTAGTTTAAAGTGTAGAGGCGGTTCCCTACTGTTCAAAAGTCGAGCTCCAGCCCTTTAGCCTGTCACTCAGGTCCCTTGATGTTCCTTCCACCCTGGCTCCTTCTCCAGATCTAGATCCAACTTACTCAGAACATTCAAATGTTCAAACAGAGCGATGGTTTCCCCAAAGTCAACCTCCTGGGCCCTCGAGCGCCTTTCACATATGCTACCTCTGCAAGGAGCAGGCTGCTGGAGAATCTCCAAGCACACTCACACAGCCTACATCCGCAGAAGCACTTCAGTGGCTTTTCCCTACAGAAGTCTCCCTCTCACACTGCCTACATCCGCAGAAGCACTTCAGTGGCTTTTCCCCTACAGAAGTCTCCCTCTGGACTCTCGAGTCCTTTAGCTTTCCCTTCGCATTTAAGAAAAAAAAATTTAACGTTTTTGTTTTATTTTTAACTGTCTTGCTTTTCAGACCTTAACTTTTCTAAGCAAGGGCAGGTATTTTTTCCCTCCCAGCTTCCTCACCAGGACTTGGCCTAGCAGGTTTAGCTTTTACTATTTCTGCATCCCGCCTCCCCCCTCCCCCAAAAAAACCCCAACATGGAGTAGGGACCATCCATCTCCTCAGATCATTCCAACTTACCCAGGCTTTCCACCAGGCCATCCTGTCTCCTGTCTGCTGCTTTTCTCAGGGAGATGAAGAAACACTAGTTGGCCTCTACTCAGTGAGTGGACACATCTTCTCCCGGCTAGTAGGTGTGGTTGTGTACACAGGTCCAGCCCCACCCAGCACTCCCTCACTGCCACCTCAGGCTCCTCTTGGCTCTGGGCCCTTCCTGTGACTCCCAGGCCCCACCCAGGCACTGCCCAGGCCTGCCCTGAGGATCACATCACTAGCTGCAAATGTTTGGGCTGTGGCTGTCACATAGTTTGGAAACTCTGAGTTAGGGTTTGAATGCAAACATGGCTGTAGCTTCTTGAGGTTGACTAGAACCTCAATCACAGAAAGAAGGAATCCTACACACAGCCCTTTCGCTTACTGCCATCTTAACATAATTAGCAGTGCAGTAAGTTTAGCAAAGGACATGAAAACAGCCACCCCCATTCCCCGGGGTAGACTGTGTCTAGATCCTTCTTTAACCACCTTGGGTTACTGGACTCTTGGGTCACGGTCACAGTCCTAGGAAGCAGGTATGAGTTTTGTGTGCTAGAGGGAAATGTTCCCAAGCACCTAGATAATTTGCTTAGATGACAGTTGTTGTGACAGCAGAGTGACTATCAACTCTCATGGGGTGAGAGGCTACACTCCCATGAGATGCTAGTTGCCAAGGGGCAGGAGGACTGTTCTCAACTAGCTTCAACTAGCTTGTGCCTATAGCACAAGCTCAGAGCAAACTGGCAGCCAACATTGCCCCCACACCAGCGGCAGGACCTGCAATCCACAGTTGCATGGGTCCCTGGCAGTCAACATAAAAGGCTCCGCCCCACACCACACACAGGCCATCCAGCAAGAAGCAGCCATAGGCAGCTTCCCTGTCCATGTCACTCTGCATGAAGGAGATGACCCCAGAGCCTGATGCCAGAAGTCCGTTTCAGAACCAGGAGAGGAAAGCCGTCTCTTGTGCCTTGGGGAGGAGCCAAGCTTTTACGTGATCCGGCTCAGACCCTGCTGCGGGGCCGCTGAGGTCGCAGAATGGCCTCTTTAAGGGTGGTTCCATGATGTGAAATGTTCAAAGTCCCCACCCCTGGCTCCAGTGTTCTTTGTTCTACAAACAGAGTTTTCATCTCTCTTTCTTGTGGCGTGGGCAGGGATGGGTAGGGATGGATCGCTGGCAGGCAGAGAGGAGGAAGGTAGCGCTGCCTTGGGAAGGCAGCTACTTACCAGAGCTGCTGGGAAAATGGGAGAGCCGTTGAGCAACGGTGCTGTGAAACGCTGTGAAAGGAAGAAGGTCTCAGCTGCCTCTGCACACAGTGATGGAGGACACATGCCAGGCCTTTGGAAGCTTGGATTCCCCTGCTTTTTTAGGTTGGTGTATACCCATGCTTTAGATGTTTCCATACAGGGACACACACGTGAGTTTCTAGAGCCCGTGATAATGGAACCAGAAGGGTCTAGCCCACATCACGCAGTACAGGTGACTGAGATGGGTCCCCTGAAAGAGCAGCAATGTTGAGGGTCATTAGATAGCCCAGGAAAAGTACCAGCCTCTGTAGAGATTTCTGGGTTCCACCACCCCGTCCACATATCAGCAGTTAAGCTTCATGTCCCCCTGTGCCCCTGGCATATGATATACCACCCCCTTATCTACCTGATGTGTGCCCACACTTTTCCTTCACTGAGCAATGGAGTCACACAGAACTTGAGATATTACGTGCACTGGATGGGGTCCTCATAGAGGAATTCACTGTATTCCCCACCATGTAGCTGACCCTGGGAGGGCCATACAAGAAAATGAGATGGGAGAAATTTGCTTAGGATTTGGGGGTGCTCCGCATCCAGGCCCTACTCCAGCAGAGTGCTGTGGGTCCTCAGATCCATATGTGCCCCCACATCTCAAAGTTCAGAGTGATGCTTTGGGTTGCAGTCTAGACACTGAGCCAAACACACAGTACAGCAGTGCACCTCTAGCCTGGGAAGGAGCACAGATAGCCCTGAGCATTAGAGGAAAGCACAGGATTTAGTTTGAATGGAGGACAGGAAGTCTGTTTAGCCTGGGCTAGGCTGTTCAGAAAAAGGGATTTTCCACTGCATCACACAGTGTCACAAGAGCTAGTTAAGTGGAAGGGGCCCAAAGAAGGCCTTGGCATGGCGTTTGTGTACAGACGAAGCCTGCGTGGGATGGGTCAGAACATGTGTGAGTAAAGAGATGGAACTTGTGCCTCTCAGCTCACTGTAATTCACACAAACGTTAAAGGAGAAGGGAGAGGCATGCACAAGCTTGTAGTTTGAAAGGGAGTGGCCTGTTGAGGTTGAAAATGACTGAGGAGTTGGGAGGAAGCAGGCAGGTGGAGTTTGGGACTGGGTGTGGGTGAGGCTCACCGACTATCAGAGGATATCTGGGATGCTGGGCATACAGAGCACCATACACAAGGGTTCCACCTAGCTCTCCTCGCAGGTCCCACCCGACTGGTGGGAAGTGCAGGGTTCTGGTAGATGTGTCTCTAGTGAGGGCCTGTTGATGGCCTGGCTCAGGGCGCTTGGGTTAGCCAAACTCATTTACTATAGTTTAAATGAGATGAAGGAAGATCAGGCCAAAGAGGGGTAAATGTCAGAGGTTAGAATAGTCATGTGGTGTCGATGAAATCGCCCAGCCCTAGTGTTAGTTAGAGATAAATGACCCAGCATATTAGATTTGAGGAAAGACTTATGTGGTCCCAGAACACAGACCTGTATAGAGACACAACAACGGCATCTCCTGCTTGAATGGGGTGATTCTCTGCTTCTGTCCAGTTTCTTCTATCATCCACCTAGCACAGGCCTTCTGGGGTCTAAACCCTCTCGCTCTCCCCATCACAGCCGGCTCCACCGTGAATTTTTCCATTGTTTGCTACACCCAGCTCGTGGGTTTGTGTGCTCTGCTCTGGCATCTTCCTGTCACTTTTGACCACTGAGGGTGGAGAACTGCCACACACTGCTGCCTTTCATCTGGTCCTCAGATGCCACTGTCTTCCACAGCCAAAGTCAATGTTCTGGGCCGCACCCTGGACAGTCAACACTCTCTTCTGCTCCATCTAGCCATGTTAAGTCCATTTGCTTTCAAACGTTACTTTCACTCTTTTCAAACTCTGCCTTTTCCAGACTGTTCTATTTTTTCCTCCATTCTTGGCTTCTCATCCCATCCCTTTAAAAAAAACTTAAATTTTGTTTATTGGAGCAAGCATAATTGTGTAATCAGCATACGTAGCTGTAAATTGAACACCATACTAACATTAGACTGGCACTATATTTTAATCTCTTCGTTTCTTGTATCTTGTTTCTTGATTCTCCTTGTTTAGATGCTGAGGATTTTCCCAATCCTGGATCCTCTTCGGAAAGAAAATTTTCCCATAGGGCCCTAGTATTATGGGTGGGTAAGAGGACTCTAGAGGGGACTTTGTTGAAACCTGTCAAACTATCAGCTGCAGTAATGTTTTATCTCACTTCAGGCTCAGAGCAGTGATTTTCATAGTTTCCAAGACAGGAGGCTTTCTGAGATATGTCCTGGGTGCACACGAGGTTTTTTGGTTATGTTTTAGGAAGTTAGGATTGGGGTTGGGTCAGCCCTCCCTAATTCTGGCTTGTAGGGGTACAGATTCCAATTTTAAAGTCTGGCATTTCATCCTTTTACACAAAATCCCTATTCTTTTGTATTTTTATTTTGTGAGACAGGCTCTCTCTACAGCCCTGGCTGTCCTGAAACTCACTGTAAACTAGGCTGGCTGGAACTCACAGAGATCCCCCTGCCCCTGACTCCTGAGTGCTAGGATCAAAGGTGTGCATCACCATGTCTGGCCTGTCCCTAGTTCTCTAAGCAATCATTCAATAATTTGGCTTCAAGTTTCTTTGATTATAATATTTCTTACAATGTTCTAACACTTGGAAAATTGATCTCTTGCTTTTAGTTGAATTCTGCATTGGTGAATTGTGCACTGCATGGGGGCTTTAGCTAAGTTAGCAAACATCAGCTTCTGTGAGTGGTTGGCAGACAAGCATCTGTGGTGTTTGTTTTCCTCTAGTAGCCTCTAGTAGCCCAGGACAGGCACAGAAAAGGCAAACAATTGCCTCTATCCACCTGGATCTGAAATTTTAACCTGATTATGGACATAGAAAAGGAGCCAAAGACAGGTGTGGTGGCTCAGGCCTATAAGCTCAACTCTTGGGAAGCTGAGACACTAGGGCTATCATGGCATTGAGGTAGCTTGGGATGTATAGTGAGTCCAGGTCAACCTAGGCTATAAAGTGAGACTGTTTTAAGATAAGATAAGGGTTCTCAGAAAAACCAGGGACATTTAGCATGTTGGAATAAGAGTAGGCTGCAAGCCTGGCTCAGGGGTGGGACTGGAGAGAAAATGAAGGTGTGGTTGAGTTGAAGGTTAAAATAGACCTAAGAAATGATGGGATGGGAGTATCTATTTACACATTGTACAAATTGGAAGGTTTTATGGAGCAGATAACAGGATATCTGAGTTGTATGTTTAGTGGATGACCAGGTTCAGGATCTGGCTGAGGGTGGGAGAGAAAGATAACATAAGGGATGGCTCACAACCACCACACCTGATGGAATACCGTAGATGTTGTGGTACCCTGAATACCACTGGCTTTGGGATGCAGGGTATGTGAGCCAAGTCTCCAAATCTCCTGGAATGAGAAAGAGATGGAAGATATTGGGTGAAAGGGAGGGCCAGGCCTCCTTGATGGGCACTTATTGTGAAGAATCCAGAACTCCAACTTGTCAGCCCTTCACAGTGGATGGAACTGGCCCAGCACCTCTCTGCTGTTTAGGACAGGAAATAGTTCTTTGATTGGGGGCTGTTTGGTTTGGGGACTTAGGGTAATTCAGGGAGCTGCTTTCAGGCATTGTCAGTTCTTGATGCTTTAAAGAAACATCTGCAGAAAGGAGAAAGTAGTTCAAACCATTAGAAATGGACAAAATCTGCTAAATAATGATGCAAAAGTTTGCTTTGTATTTGGTCTGTCCAGCGGAACTTGGAGAGCAGTTTAGTGGACAAATGTAAGGTCTGAGCGCCACCTTGTGGAATAGTGAAGCATTAACACCAGCTACCTCACTCTTCATTCCCCAGATCTCAGGATGACAGCCTAGTTACAGAATGTAGAATGAGGGAGGTTACCAAGGCAGAATGGCCCGAAGCAGGGTTGTGGGGTATTCAGGAGATAACCTCAGTCCCCTCTATCCCCAGGGCACAGCTTCTACAGATGTTCTACAGATGTGGCCGGTGACCACCTCATAAACTAAGCCCTGGCCTTCCCCTTACCTGGCAAGTCCCACTAGGTCCATAGCTCTGTGGGGTCTGTTCCTGAGAGGCTCAACCCACTCTCAGAGAGTAGGAAAACAGGAAAGGAAGTTGCAGGAATTTTAGTCACAAGGAATTACATCTCTGGATTTGGGGCACCTGAGTTAAAATCCAGGCTCCTGAGCAGAACCTTGCTTGGCCTTCTACACTTGGTGCCAGTTATGCCCAACTACAGGGATCCTGAGTCTAGGGTCACTCCTTACTCCTTTGTCCAAGGAGATGATATACCTCCTCTCACACCTCTCACCTTTCTCTCTTCCTTTAAACAGACAAATAAACAAAACAACCCCCCACACCCCAGAAATAAACAAGCAAAAGGTCAATAAGATAAAAAACAAACAAAGCAAAATGAAACAAAATATCTACAAAAATAACATTGAGTTTGTTTTGTGTTTGCCAAGTACTCCCGTGTGTTTGGCTTTCACCAAAATATGTTAACACACCTAGTGAGATTCCACTGCAGAAAAAAAAAAGTGATTTTTCTATTTTCCATTGCCAGCAGGTATCAGTTGAAGATAGATTCTTAGAGGTGGGAGCTTGTGTCTACTTTCCTCATCTGGCTTGAACTTGTGCAAGCGTTGTACATGCAACTACAGTCTCTGTGAGGGGAGTTCACACACAAACCCCTGGTTCTTGGACATAAGGAATGGACCGTCTCCCTACTGCCTGGGCCCAGCCATAGCATGTATACAAGACCCTGTATGTAGGATGGAGGCTGGAGGCAGGTGTGGGACTCTGCCAGGGGAGGCTATGCTTGGGTGGTTCATGGGGATGGGCTCTATTCTGCTGGCACAGCTCTCAGCTTCCTAGGGATGTTGTGAAAGGTGGGTGGGAGAGAACAGGAAAGAAGTATGTGAACAGCAGTCACTCACAGGGAGTCTGTTGGGTTGGACTCCTCACCATGATGAATAAATAGTGCTTTGGGGACATCTGCTTAGTCTGTGGTCTCAAGACTAACCTCCATTCCTGTGGGTATTCACCAGCTGACAAGGGGGTTATGCCCCTGCAGGCTGGGGGTGCATTCTGATGTGGCCTTTGGGAGTGTTAGCAAGCTTTCTTTTTACCTAAGAGGCTCAAGAAAGAAATAGAATTCTTTATAATTGGAGATTCTTTTCATCTGGGGACCCTCCTCCTCCAGAGGGCTGTGAAAAAGTCTTATCTGTAAGAAGGCACCAGCCAGCCAGCCCTTGGCTGCCATCATGTCACCCAGTGTCCAGCCTGCATGCATATTTCAGTTCAGTAGCTAGAGTGGGACTGGGTGCCTGGGCCTGTACCCCCATATTGATCCATTTCTGTTTCTCTGGGGAATCCCATCCAGTAAACATGACCAACAGCTCACTTCTTGCAGATTTGGAATGTGAGGTACAGAACAGAATGAAGGAATGGGGAAAAGGAAAAGAATTCGAACAAAGGAATGGAGGAAAAAGAGAGAAGTCAGAAAAAGAGGGAGAGAGAAGGAGGAGGCGAGAGGGGGCTTTCAATAGATTACCTTATAAGCCATCCAGACTTCTACGTCCTGGGCCAGTCCTGGTACAGAGACAAAGAGATGGAGCAGGGGCACCGCGACCTCTGTTGTGCGAACAGGAGCTCCTGCTGAGTGTGAAGGTACGCTTGTGCTGTGCCTGAGCTTGTAGAAGGAAACCACACTGTCACTGCTAGAGGGTGAGGGACACTCGTGGCTTCAAGGAGCCCAAACGGAGTCCAGGATGAGACATTACGAAAAGCAATGGGAAAGAAGTTCTGAACAACTCAGCCCAGGGAGAATCCTCTACCCTGAGGACAAGGACAAGCCTTGAGGAAGGGCATCCTGTAAATCAAGGCTATATCTTCACCCTGGATGTTTTAGCTGTCTCACGAGAAGTGACCAGCCTCAGGCTGGAGAGATGACTGAGAGATTAAGAGCTCCGGCTTCTCCTCTGCAGTTCAATTCTTAGCAACCATGTTGTGGCTCATAACCATCTATAATGAGATCTGGTGTTCTCTTCTGGCATTTGGGCAGAACACTTTATACATAATCAACAATCAATCAATGAATCAATGAATCAATCAATCAATCTTTTAAAAAAGTGACTAGCTTCTGTTGCTAAGGGCGGGGCCCCACAGGGTAGTGACAAAGTCCTGGGCTGCAGGCAGAAGGTCTGGTCACTAAGGCCTAAGCCAGACTGAAGTGCTCCAATTGTGTCTGCCACTGTCTTGTTGCGGCATGTGTCTTTGGCAGTAAGAGAGGGGCAGGGGTATCTGAGCTCATCATACCTTGTCATCAGCAGCCTCTGTTCCTATTTGCCCTTACTCCTTCCATAGGAGATGTTTAATGGACAGTAGAAAACAGCTACCAGAAACAGGAGAGGACTGAAAGGGTGAGAGAGGCTTAGATCCCATCCAGGTAAAAGCTATGCAGCCCAAGCTGTGGCAGTTAAGGGCAGGACAAGACAGGGAAGTTGGGGTAGAGATAAGGAACAGAAACCCCTTGAGTGGGTGCTTTGAAGGTCAAAGTTTTACAACCAAGAGAAAAAGCCCACAAGAAAACCCTCATGCAATGCCAACCATTCCAGCATAGCATTCATTTTGGAAACATGGAGGGGTGGTACATTCATCATTATCTGTGGATTCAATCTATACCATTTATAAGACAAGGTGTGGCATGTTTCTACCTGTGTTTGCCTTAGAGAAATTCAAGTACAATGCCTGGGTATAATGGGGAGCATAGAAGGCTGCCATTTAATTAACCATCAAGATTTGGCACAACTGATAAACTTTGCCATGACCTTTCTGGAGAGTCTTCAGAAGATGCTGGGACCCCTTGTTAGGTCCTCATCTTGGTGTACCTGGTCCCTGTGGTATCACACAGCCATGATGCACATGCCAGTTGCCTGAATACTCAGCCCTGTTGAAGTCCGATTTAGAGGACACACAGGTGAGGTTTGCCTGATCCAGTCAAATTCAGAGGCTCTCTTGGGCATGGGGGATACACGACATATCTAGAAAGAGAAGTCTTGCTTCCAGAAGAGGCTTTATTTCCTCCCAGAACACATTCAAAATTCAAGAATCTAAGAAATGGAAATCAGGAGTGTGCAATCCAGATGAAAAATTAAAATATACTTGTCTTTTAAAACATGTAGGGAAAGGGATTCAAGAACATTTACAGATGGGAAGGGCTGTTCCACAGAGACCTGTGTGGAAGATCCCATTTGTCCCAGCCTTTGCAGCTAGATGAAGACAGACTGGTAGGAAGTGGGACCAGGGAGCTTTGTCCTGGTAGGTGCAACACCATCTTACCTCAGACTGTGAGCATCTCCCTAGGTGTGGAGCTTGTGGACCAGTAGGAAACCCAAGCATTCTCTCTACAATCTAAGACCTGTCACATGTGTCCAATGCAATAAACAAAAGCCTCTTAAACTTAGAATTTTGGTCGTTTAGAGATTGGGGGGTAAGGATGGGTTTGACAAAGGGATTCTAAAGATTGTCGAGTACGGGGAGAGAGCAGAGGTAGCATCCTGGAGGGAGACTTGGTATACCTGGTGGGGTATGGGGATTGTGGGGACTTGAAACTGTAGCACTCCTGATTGGGAGGGGAGCACATCTTTGAGCACAGAGTCTGCGCAACTGGGAGACTTTCCTGGGTGGTTTGAAAGCGGATCTTTGGGCTGCAGCGTGCCCGTGTGATGTTGAAACACTCCTCATTGGGTTGAAGGACAATCCTTGTGGGGTATGATGGTTCTGCAAGGTGAAAACAATCCCTATTGGAACAAAGGCAGAGCTTTTGGGGGCAGGAGGCCTGCGAGCAGCTGGGTTTCATGACAGTGAAGCTGGGACATCCTCCCTGGAGGAAGGACAAAAAAATAAAGGTCACAGAGATGTCGCTGGAATTGGGCTAGAAGGCTGAAGTTGCCAGACCTAAGGCAGTAAAGTCAGGACACATCAGGACTCAACTGACAGTGCTAGCCTTGTTGATGCTCCTTTGAATCAAATCAAATCATAATCAACATGGAGTTGCTTATGTCAAGTCTTAGTATAAACCGAAATTGTAAGAGGGAAAGTTGAGTATTTATGCAGGAGAAAAGTTCATTCCTGTAGACAAACTACCACAAAACACTGCTAGGACCACATTGACCAAAGACTACCACAAAGATACCGTCGATGGCTCCATAGCAACCCATAACCCAGACGCCTAAAGATAACATTGCATTTTAAATCCCTTACACAAAAGCATGTCTGCGAGGATGAACAGTCTACTCAAGGTAAACTGGTGCCATTGTCAACTTTGTTCTTGGCCCTTTAATATTCTTTTATGATTCCTTGTGCTCAAAGGTTACGGCCCCAAAGTAACTTGTGTGAACCTTCTAATTTTGCCTTTAAAGTTTCCCTTTATGCTGTCTCTTTTTTATGCCCACAGCTTGCTATGGGGTGTGGGATCCTCATTGCAGGGCCCTGAAACTCACAAGTAAATCATTATTTTCAGAGAAACTCCTTGATTGTTGATTAAGTAGGAGTCAGTAAAGTTCCCTTTGACTTGACTGTTTTGAATAAGTTGCCTTAAAGAACCTGACATCTGCCTTAGGACCATGAAAGATTTTCTACAAGCTATTTTTAGTATTATCACAACCGTCTTTCTGGTTTCTGTGAATTTACACTATGTCTGCAAAGACCTCAAAGGACCTCATGATTGCTTGTTTGTGGTGGATTCATTCTTGGCTCTACAGGCCTAATTACTTTGCTTCCTCTGGATAGTTAAGAAATTCTTATTTCCATTTGGTTTGTTTACATATGTTTTTAAATAGCTTATGTCACACTGCCTCCCTGAAGGGACCTAGAAGTTCCAGTTAACACCCAATACATGGCTTACATTAAACTGCAGAACCATAAAACTTAAAAGTTTAAAATATAAAAACAGTGGCCATTTTGTGCCTTAGGGCTTCCCTCTGCCTGGCTCACCTGCGCCTTGGGATGGCACCACACCAATGGCATCTGATGGCAGCTTGGGTGAAAGTAGTTGCAGCATGTGTCCAGGTTTTCCTGAAAAGCAGACATGACCATGAGGAAGCAGGATATCACGGGAGCTGCCCCCAGGGACACTAGGTCCAATTATTGAAAACTCTGTCAACACAGACACAAGACCACAAAACACATCCTCTCCTGAGAGAGGCCAGTCTAAAGACTTGGGTGTCCAGAGTGGTCATTGTAGAACACAGAGAATCCAGGACAGTTGGGGACAAAACAGTGTTTCAAGTGGGAAGCTGTGTCAGGTGCTGGCTTTTCAGAGGCTTGAGGGGTGTGTGGTGTCGAGTAGAGGTCTCCAGGGGAGCTATGTGTTTTGTGAAGGCTCTGTCTGGGTAGAAGGCCTGGGAAAAGGAAACAACCTATGACATGGGCCATATTAGCTAAGTAGTCAAGAGGCTCATGTCTCACTAAGGGCCAAACTGAAGTAGAGGAAGGTGGAGAGGCCAGAAGAACTCAGGCAGGCCTAACTGTAGAGAACCTCATGTTTTCAGCCTTGTAGACCCCTTGGGTTCTCTGGAGAGAGTGGGGCAAGCCTCTGGCAGTGGCCATTTTCCTCTCAGGAGAATTGTGTTGGTTTCTCTGTAGCTCACAGGCAGGGAATGGGTAGACAGGGCTCTCAAGAGGAAGTCATGAGCTCATCACAGACAGAGACAGAGCAGGGAGGAAGACTACAAAGCCAGGAGGGAAACAAGGGCTCTTTCTCCCTTTGCTCTGTCTTTGTAGGGGCTACATACTGGGGCCTGGGACTGCTACGTGTCTTCTCCTTTCTTGGGATGGCCTGGCCCTCCTAGGAGGGAGGTTTCAGATAAGTGGATGTTTGCTTCCTGGGTCTCAACTCCACACTAGAAGCTTGTGATGCTCTTTAACACCTCCTGGTCAACTCCCTTCATCCTGTAACTCTTTGCTGTAGGTCAGTGGGCATCAGGACCACTAGATAAGCTCTTTTACTTGTATATGAGAAGCCTTGATCTAGGCTGGCCAGGGGCACTGGCATTTGATCAGTTTTCACGGACAGAAGGTAGCTCAAGACTGGTCTTTTCTGGATTTATTGTATCTAACCTTGCATGATACACCCTATACATCTTGGCTTGTTCATTCTCAGACTAAGGGCAGCATCAAAGACATTGTTGGGGCTCAGTCAAGGGCATGGGAACTAGAGACTGGCAAGTTGGAGCACAGTGGCTATGTTCAGAACTGGACACTGTGAAAGAGGGTGGCAAGCAATTGTGGAGCCCTCTGTGCATGCTCTCCTCCAGCCACTGGGGAGAGACAGGGATCCAGGGGTCCCCAGACATAAAGTAACACATGCCCTATATCCCTCACACAGTCGGACCTTTGTTGTGATGATTGGCTGTGCCTGCCCTCCCCAGCCAAGCCTAGAGGGTCACAGCCTGTCCATTTCCCAGTCACCTGCATGCCTCTGTTCCCACAGCCACAGCAGGCAACGATCACAGTAGGGTTTGTGTTAACAGGTACCGGGGCTGGAGGAGGAGCAGGAGAAGGAGCAGGCGCAGAAGCAGATGGCGATGGTGAAGGAGAGCTCTCTTTTTCTGGCTCCTAGAAGTGAAAAGAACTGGTCTGTGTCTTGTTGTAGCTGTATGGACAGGGCACAGCATCCCTTGCAGAGCATCTACAGTGTGGGGTCAGTTAGCTAAGGCTGTGCAGTGAATGGAAGCCTTCCCTACTGGGGAGGTCAGGCATGAGAAAATAACCAAAGCTCTTCTGCTTTGTAGACACTGAGCTTCCTGAGATGCCAACATCCACTTCAGTGTACTTGGTTCTCCTGAGGCCACACTTGCTGGCAGAAACCTAGCCTGGAGGTTGTGCAGAGGGTAGGTGATGTCTGTCTCCTCCACTCAGCTCTGGCCTTCAGAGAGGCAGCCTCCCAGGCTACTCTGCAGCCAGCACTGTCCCAAGTAAACAGGGAAGTGGTCCCCAGCACAGGCTCAGGTGTAGACTGTCTTCCCCAGCCTTTCATTGCCTCTTCTGGTCCCCACTCCTAAAGAAGACACAGTCATTTCCTGATCTGGTCCCTGTGCTCAGCTGGGGACATTCCTCACAGCGGGGTCAGTTAGGATATCCCAATCTTCCCCAGTCCTGGCTACTCTTAGTGAAGCCATTTGCCCTTCCAGCAGATGATGAAGACTACTATAAAAGAAGGCCAAGGCCTCTGAGCCCAGAGATGGAGACCTGTATTTGACACATGCCGTCCCTATACTAAGAACCATTCTTGAGCTCTGTATTCTGTAGAGAGCACTACAGGAGCCACTGAAAGATACCAGTTGAGTAATAGACGGCTGCATATGCTGGAGCAGTTTGCCAAGTGCTGACTTTGCTACTGAAGCCCTGGCTGGGAAGTGTGAGTCTGGCAATGGTGTTGTCTGGGTAACATTACCTTGAATTCCATAGCTTTCCCATATTATCTTTGATCTGCATCCTCCCCCACCCTATTTACCGCCAAAGTAGTGAGATAGTCTGGGCTCAGCCTTCATGATACCTCTTAAAAGTCAGTGTACAGTGTTACCCTCCCCCCATTCCCGACCTCCCAGGCTCACCTTCTCTGGCTGTGAGGGAGGTGGTGGTGGCTCCTTAGGCTGAAACATGAAACAGACAGAGATGGACTGGAGTGCATAGGGTGGACTCTGCAGACAGAGGGGACCCTGGCTTGGAGCAGGGACATGGGCAGGGAGAGCATGTGCCCAGTGTCTGTGGTGATGTGTCCTTTGGCTTCACCTGGCCCACGGCAGCCACATTCCTGTCTGGTAGGAGAGATCTGAACCAAGGTGCCGGTCCCTGGAGAGGCCCATGGCTGAAGCACTGCACACCTGTCCCAGCCACATCTGAGGTGGGGCTCACTCTCATCCTTTCCCTTAACGGAAGCTCAGTCCTTCAGCCTCCCCATACCTCCTGTGACCTCCTTACCCTCTCTCTAGTTTAGTCCCCAGGTTTCTCTGTTCACTGTGCCCCTGGGAAGAGATGGGTCCTGACAGTTCTGTTGTACACTGTCTCCAGGGCAACTATCCTGTTCCTTCTCTGGCTTTCTGGAGGGATCCTTCCATTCTAGTTCACTGGCCCCTCTGTCTTGTCCTACCCTGTCCCCAGGATGCTAGCTAGTGTCATCCTTGTATCCTGCTCTGCTTTAGCCAAGCCCTGGTTCCATCTCTGGATGACTGATATTTTACCCTCAATCCTCAATAGTGACTGAAGTCTCTGGTGGGGAAAGATGGCTCTGCTTTGTCTCTGTGCCTCTGCACTCCAGTGTGAGCTGTATATGTTATACCCCCATATATCATAAATAGAAGAGTAGGTCTGCCCTAGGAGTTCCCAATCTTGCCTGATAGGCATCACAGACACAAGCTGACAAAGGAGCTTCAGTTGAGAAAATCCCTCCATGAGATCGAGCTGTAAGACATTTTCTCAATTAGTGATCAAGGGGGGAGGCCCTTTGTTGGTGGTTCCATCCCTAGGCTGGTAGTCTTAGGTTCTATACGAAAGCAAGCTGAGCAAGCCAGGAGAAGCAAGTCAGTAAGTAACATCCCTCCCTGGCCTCTGCATCAGCTCCTGCTTCCTGACCTGCTAGAGTTTTCAGTCCTGACTTCCTTTGGTGATGAACAGCAACGTGGAAGTGTAAGCTGAATAAACCCTTTCCTCCCCAACTTGCTTCTTGGTCATGATGTTTGTGCAGGAATAGAAACCCTGACTGAGACACACAGACACCTGTGAGGTTTGATCCACATGAACTCTGTGGATGTGTAGCTGATCCACAATTGCCCTGGTCTAGGGGTGTTGAGATGGCCCCTTTCTGGAGCCAACCTTAGCTTACAGGACAAGCATCTCAGACTGAATTTCTATGTCAGCTAGACTGTAGGCTTCCTAGAACCCAGGCTGGTCTAGAGTTTGGGAATTTAATATTGAGTTTGTACCTCCCCTGGATGATATGGGGACCTTGGAACAGATGGGAACTTGCCATCAGGCTGGATTATAGTGCTGGCATATGACATTGTTCCTTGGAAGGAGGGCATGCGTGGGCATGCCAGGGTAAGGGGGTAGGTGTGGGCAGCAGGGATTTACCTTCATGCAAAGCTTCCAACTGCAGCACAGAAAGAGTAGAGTCACCAGCAAGATTGGCAGGAACATCAGCCAGGTCCAGTTGAACGTAAAATTGCCTTTTGATTCCTGGTTGGGAGTAGCGCTGACTTTGTCTGAGTCTTTTGTCAGTGGTTGGCTGGTTGTATCAATGGTTGTACTTCCCTGTGGCTGATAGTACCAGTGGCTTCTTTCCCTGTGCCCACCCCTTTCTTCCTATTTGTACACATGCTCTTTTCATCCATCTTGTCTAGACACAAGGGGCTACAGTGGGGTTAGTGGCCCAGGCTGGTCCTCAGAGGGCAGCCTACCTTTCTTCTGTTACCAGCTTAGAATCTAAGAAATCTGAACCCAAGATCGTCTATGGTCTGAGGATGGCAGTTCTCACTGTGGGCTTGGTCACAGTATACTAGGTTATAGGTAATCAGATCTCTGGGAAAGGGCCAGGTGACTGAGCTACTAAAGAGGTAGGGCCAGGAGATGTGGGTCTATCTTTCAAGGCATGGAGATCTTTGTGTATCCCAACTCTGTACAAGAAGCTCACCTCTCCTCCCCCTGAAATTTGAGAGGAACTCAAGAATAGTCACAAGTGGACACAAAGCTCCTCCTGGGCATACTCCTCCCTCCTCCCACCACACTGAACTGGACTCAGGTGCTTGGAAGGCAGATGTGGAACTGGAGAGGTAGTGCTTGAAGAACAGCACTTTCTTCCTCAGGGACCCTGGCTGAGCTGAGCAGTATATGTGCCTGACAGCTTCCTCTTACCACAGTGGGAGAGGATACCCTGCTGATGATAGTAAGCCCACAGAGAAGCAGCCAGGGAGAGGGGATGTAGGACTTTGAAAGGATAGAATGGTTCCTGGTCAAGCACTGGATAGAGATGGTCAGAAATCCAACAGGTATCCCTGCAAGGGACAGCATGCATTTCACCATGCTCCCAGACTCCAGGCTCCTGACAGGAGGCCAAAGACCTCCATTGATCCGCTCCTTTCAGTCACATAGGGCAACAGCCCTACTAGACCCTCCACAGGTAGAGGGTGTGACTACAGGCTGCAGAACCTCAAGAAAGATCTCCATATTAATGAGATACCTAAAGGCCAGAGGGCGTAGACAATTAAGTATTCCTTCCCAAACCCTCCTCCCTGCAAAAGATATTTAGCCTCAGGCCTGCCCTGATTGCAGGGGGGTACAGCTTCATCCACTTTCTGCTACAACAATAAACTTTTTAAAACAATGGGTTTCCTTGTGTCTTTAGGGCCCTCTGTGGAGAACCATGGAGAGGGCCTTCAACCAATGAGCTGCCACCTAATCTCCCATGGAGGACCTCTCTGGGTTCCAGCCACGGAGGCTGCCAACTCAAACAAGCTAGCTGAGCCAACCATGACCCAGCCAAGGGAGTCACCCTCACCAAAAGTCTCACTACCCCGAGGGGCGCTGCTGGAGCTTCCCAGCAGTGCCTGGGAGCCCAGGAGTCGGAGACCAGTTGATCCCTGCACGCCTTCTTGCGCGGGGGTCCCCAACCAAGAGCTCTGCCCCCTCTGATCTCAGACTGAGATCTCCCCATGCCGGGAGCGGAGTTTTGTGACTTCTCACAGCCCGAAGTCTGCCCGGAGTAGCATGGAGTGAACTCAGTCAAATTCCTGCGCTTCTGCTCTCTGAGCCCCGGTTCCAGCTGCCTGGGGTGGCAGACTCTCGGGAACCACAACTCAGCCCAACAGAACGCAAACCCATGTGTGGGCACAACAGCCCCACAAGGGAACACAGCTGAAGGCTGGGGACACTGTAAATGTCATCAAGAAGGTTGTGGGAGGAGTGAGGCTTGAGTAAGTTTGGGTCCATGTCAGCTGCCGGGGACCCGATTCACTGGCACACATCTTTGGCTACTGCTGGTGGAAACACTGAATTCCTTGGCCTAGAGCACCCGTATGAAAGTATTGTGTACCCTACGTGTCCTAGACAATCTCTGGCAGAGAGACGCATACTCGTTCCAGGTGGCTCTTCTAAAAACTGCTGCAGACGATCTAACATAGTGTTCACTGCTACTTTTGGGCTCCCCCCACCCCACCTCTTTTGGATTATCTTTTGATCTCTATATGGATCTGTATCGTCTTTGGGAACTTACCCTAGCACTCCAGCAGTTGGTACTGGTTATAATGAGTTTGTTCCCAATGAAGGAGATGCCGTTGTTCGGACTGACTTGAAGAGAAACATCCCTGATGCACAGAAAAGACATTGGATGATGGGAAGAGCCCCAGAGACTCAGTTTGTTCAAACCATTGCACATGTCATTCCTCAGTGTAATGATGCTGAAATTTTATCGCAGGAACTCCCTGAGAGTGGACAGGTAGGCAGAGAAACTACTCCCCAAAGCACAGAGAGTCAGCCTCTGCAGTGATGGTGACAGGTGTGAACTAGGCTGTCATAAGAGGCCTGCATGTCATATGACCATAGTGGCCAGGAACTGAAGAATCAGGGAGGTATTCAAATGCAGGTTTGAACCCTCAAACTCATTGTCTTCTGCATCCTGCCATGAGCAGGGAGCCTGGGCACTGTGTATTCCTGAATACCACCAGGGTCACTAACTGGGACATATGGAAAGTAAATAGAACCCACATATGGAATTTCTACAGCAGAGGGGACATCCCAGATTCTCCACAGGCTGGCAAACACTTCCTTACTCTAATAAATGCTGACCACTGGACTCCCATAAGGCCTCCAGCAAGGAGCACTTACTCTCCAGAGTGTTGTATCTTTGGTCCAGGACAGATTATAGTGTTTTCATTTACATCAGTGGGACTTTCATCTAAAAGAAAATGACACAAGATTATCAATATAGATACCCTTTCTCCACTATCAGCTCTGGCTGAGAGGACTGCCTACTTTCCCTTGCCTCTTCTTTTGTTCAAGGTCACCTGCCCAGCACTGAACAGCACTCAGCAGGAACATTTAACAAGGGCTCTTGCATCCCAGGTCTCATTTGTTGGGGATTGAGAGGATGAGAGCAAAACTAGAAACACAGGACAGTGTAAAAGTCAGAGTGCAGAGTGCTTTGAGCAGAGGGAGCGATGGGGCATGCTGCAGGAAAGATAGATGCTCATGTGACTTGTCCCTTCTTTTAGAAGGATGATGTCTTATTTAAAGAAACAGAAGTATTTATACAGGAAATGATGCCTTCCCTGGAATTTAATTAAAGATGTTCAGTGGTGAGAGTGTTAGAGAGCTACACTCTGGGGGCTGTGAAGTTCTGAGAGTAGGCTGTGGGTGCTTCAAGGCCAGGTACACTTCTTGGTGTTTGTGTTTGGTGTACCATACTCACTGAAATTGATTCTGGGTGAGTTGCTGCTATTTGGGCTAGGAGTGGCCAGAGTATGATCTGACCCTGGGATGATGGGGATCTGGGAGAAGTGAAAGGCAAATGGCGAAGTACCAAAGCAGAATCTACTGGGTTGCTGAAGGGAGTGAAGAACTGTGGGTTCTGAGAAGAAGCTCGGGCTTTACTGCCAGTGTGATAGATAGGGCTTTAATGTCAGGGGCTAGGAAGGCTCCAGATACAGGTTGGACATGAAGGCAACATGACCTGCTAGTGGACTGGGCACAGGGATAGAATGAAAGCATCAAGAAAGACAGCCAGACCCAGGAAGACCCAGGAAGACCCAGGAAGACCCAGGAAGACCCAGGAAGACCCAGGAAGACCCAGGAAGTGGGTGGATACTTGTTTACAGAGCTGGGGAAGGCTCAAAAGAGAATACAGATTTTTCTTTCCCTGCTTTGGGAGCCTGAGAAGCGTTTTGTAACTGTGACAGAAGAAAACTCTTTGGCACACGTTATCTTCCCAGTCCACTGAGCTAGGCAAAAAGCCAAGAGCTGAGTTGGATACCCACTAGGTAGGCTTCCAATTTCCCAATCCCTGGTTTCCTCTCTGTGATGTAATTCTGGACTTCCCCGAAAGGCTTTCCTGCATCTTCTAGACTTAGTCTGGGGTCTGTTGCTCTGTTCTACTTGTAGATTCTAGGTTCTGGTATTCAGCTCTCAGGAAGACAGGATAAATGGATGTTGCAGAGGGAACAGGCCAGTGTCATGCCAGCCTCCAGATGCCTTTGGGAGCTGAAGGGTTTATTCTTTCTCTATGTTTGTATAAACGGAGAAATGGCTAGGCAAGTTGCTTAGTCCTTTTTCATTGGCCTATGCTGCCTTAGCTCCTCAGTGCCCGCTGGACACGGTTAGCAAATGCAGAAGGCTTGGTTGACTTGGGAAAATGGTGCTGTGTGGTAATAGTGTACCCCAGAGGTACCAAGGGGCTACTTACCAACGACTCTGGCGTCACTGAATGTGAATCTACAAATAAGTTGTTTCATGTCGTTTGTATTATTAAACCCATGTCCGCTAATGTTTACTTGATAGGAGTCTGCAAGAACAATATGTACTCATTAGAGCGAGGAAGAGCAGGGTGCCATGCTCTTTCTGGTCTCACCTTTCACAGAGGGCTATCCTGAAGATGGAATTATCAGGTGCCCTTACGAAACAGCATCAGTGTCTGAACCATCATCTGTGGGACTTGTAGGGGAGGCAAATCCTCATCTGTGTCACTCAGCTTCCATGCCATTCCTTCCTTTCATAGCCAGGAGGGGAGGGGGCTTGCATAGTCTTACTGTGATCCCTGACCCAACAGATCCAAAGTCTGCGAGAGAGTCCCAGCCTGTTTCAAGCTAGGTCAACTCAGCTGAAACCATCCTGCTCTGAGACCTCATACACTTCTTAATCAATATGGGCACTGTAGCACAGCCAGGACCTTCTTTCCACAGGGGAGGGGCTAGCTCCCTACTCGATACCATTGAGAGTGAAGAATATCAGTTCTTTCCTGTGATTCTATGGCATGGAAATACAGACCTGAGGAGCAAAGACGAGACATAGAGAATAGGTCCAGTCCCTGGCCCACCTCAGAGAGTCCCTCAGGGGGGCTGGACCATTTCAGATACAGGACCAGAGGCCAGCACCTCCTTCTTCATCCTCACCCATCTTGCTCATCACTCTGGGATTTAGCAAGGTCTTCTATAATATCAGTGGAACAGCTCCCTGTCACTGACATCAGTATAGAAGGGACACAGAGATGACAGCTGGCAGGTGGTTCTATGGGCAGGATCCCTCTACCTTTCCATCATTTGCTTGCATAGGGACCCAGGTCTTGCTCATTCCTGTCTCCCACACATTTCAGATGCCTCAGGGTAGTAGATCAAGGACTCCCTTTACAGGTTCCTCCTCAGGCTCTGTAGCACACAGTTGGCTTTGGTGCAATTTCAAGCAAAAAGATAATTCTGCTTCATTTGGGGTATAGGCAGCCTTGGGCTTCCCTGGAAGTGATAGGCCTCCTCTTCCTCCTTCTTCCTCTTCTTTTCTTCTTCCTCCTCTTCTTCTTTTTTAAATTATGAAAGTCTGCTTTAATGAAGTTGCCTCTGAGTCCATAGTAGGTACAATTTAAAATTTTGATTTTGTGATCATTTTTAATTAATTAATTAACTTCCCAACTGGATTTTCTTATCCCGCCTCTCTTCCAGTCCTTCCCACCATCCCCCTTACATCCATTCCTTCTCTACTTCTGTTTAGAAAAGGGGAGGCCTCCCATGAATGTCAGCCAGCCTTGGCATATCAAGTTGCAGTTAGACCTGGCTCACCTTCTCCTACTGTAGCTAGACAAGGCCGTCCAGTTAGGAGAAAGGGATCCAAAGGCAGGCAGCCGAGTCACTAACAGCCCCTGCTCCCACTTTAGGGGTCTCACATAAAGACCCAGCTGTACAACTGTAACCTATGTGTGGGAGGCCTAGGTTTGTCCCATACAGGCCTCCTGGTTGGTAGTTTAGTTCCTATGGGCCTGGGTTAGTTAATTTTGTAGGTTTTCTTGTGGGTGACAGGCCTGGTTAGTACTTGGATGGTTGACAGGTATTCTTATGTGGCAGCTTTGCACAAGATAGCCAACAGTTTAACAGGTCAGTGGCTAAGCTGATGTCTGGAGGCACTTGTCACCTTGGTTCAGCCACAGCAAGGGAAGAGTGACAACTCATGTTTTTACCTGGGCTTTGCCACAGTTGTCCAGACTCCAAGGCCTGTGTGCCCCAAGACAGTCAGAGAAAAACTGGTGGGCTGCACAGCTGGGTGCTGTTTGCTTTTGGTTTTAACCCAGAAGCACCTCTCTCTTCATCTCTCAGAACAGTAGGCTTTGGACTCTTCCACAACATGGGGAGGGGCAGAAGCAGCCAAGAGCCAATGACTAGGATGCAATTATCAGGGCCAGCTTCTGCCTCCAGATGTCTACTAGCCTCTAGATGCTACATTTGCCACCACACAGCCCCAGTTTATTTTTGTCCACACTGCAACTCTAGCAAACATGGTGGCACTTTTCCTCACATAGGTGCTGAGGGGAGCACAGCTCAGTGCAAGTACAGTCCTGTACTAACCAGGCCTGTCACCCACAGGGCTTCTTCTGTCTCCTTCTTCAGGGTACAAGTTCTAGCTATACGGGACAAGTCTGCATGCAGGTACTGACAAAGAAAGACATCCCTCCTTCAGAAACAAATGTGTGTGTCTTTGGCACACTGATGCAGAGACTGTGTGATAGACAGAGGCCATCCTTGTCTGTTCTGATTTTGGAGGTCAGGAGTTGGCTGTGACAATGCTGGGGTGAAGTAAGCAAGCCTGTCTTTGTGGATACTTTGCCAGGCATGGGTGTTTTCTCTTGTTTCCAGGAGCAACACAGATGCCCACTGTGCCCAATGGTTCATTTTCACCTGTGGACATGATTTCCCACTTTTCTAAAGTGGAAACTGCACAGAGGAAATTTCCACCTCTGCTGCTCTTGGTCTTTCTAGCGAAGCCAAGGTGTGCTGGATGCACTGGTAGCTCCATACTATTTTCTAGGGTTTCCTTGTGGGTTTTGAAAATACCTTCTTCCTAGCCTTATAATGACACCTTTTGTTTTGAGATAAATAGGTAGCAATTACATATACATCCCAATGTTATTACAGTATGTACCTTCCACGTGTACATGATACTATACCTAAAGCATAGTCACTCCATATATGCTCATCACATACATATACAGAGCATCTTCATAGACACATATACATCACATGCACATTCTGTATGTACTGTGTACCACGCACATATTAACTATAATGCATATTATAAACCACACATGCATGCATACTATCTATGGCATATGTAACCATAAACTATAAACACACAAATACCATGTTCCCTTTAGAAATACTACGTAGTTAATCACATACATCATGTATAACACACACACACACACACACACACACACAAAAGTTCTTTAGTACCAAATATATATTCACAAATGGACACATTCTATGCCCTACACTAAGCAACACACAAAATTTACTCCATAATCACAATTGAAAAAATACCACAGATATTGTATATACTACTCTGATATACCAGACAACATAAATGCATGCCATAAATCCCATAAATATATACTAGATACCACATGCCACATTAAAACTCATACATGTAACACATGCTATAGAAACATATCATGTGGTATAGACGCTTTGTCTACCATCTACACCATAATACTTCACACCTCAGAACCTCACAACATACAAAGCACAATTACATATCAGACTTTCTCCTCCCAAGTCTATTTGAGCCACTCCCTCTACAGCCTTCCCAGAGCCCTCTCATATCACATATACCATGCATATACCATACCATACACATGGCTCACATACACCCACCAAAAGCTTTCTTACCACACACAAGACACCTCTACCAGGCAGTCCAAAAACACCACCTATACCATAAATATTAACTTCCCTCACATTAAACCACACATGTACCCTCCTTCCCATAATATTCTCCCAAGACACATTACACACATACTTACCACAGAAGTATTGCATTTAGATTTTCTACCTACTGTTAGGTCTCAAACCCAGGACAAAAGGCAAAGATGCCTATTTAACATATCAAAGTGGATGCTGGCCACCAGATTCTCCTAGCATCCCTCAGTCCCTACCTGTTACAGGATATGGATGACATACTCTGCCCCTTATCCTAAGCTTCTCCAGCCCAGGGACTAGGCTGCTCTTCCCCCAGATGCCCTTCTCTATATAACCCAACCATTTTGGTTACATGGCCCTTTCTCTACCCTTTACCTTCCTGGGCTCTTGGTCTGGCCCTTTCCTCTTCCTCACATGGCTTAGCTCAGTCTGGTCATGTTCGATCTGGACTCTCCCAGATGAACCTACCTCTGACTATGCTTTCCCTTTTATATACAATAAACTTTCTCCCCCCACCCATTCCTAGGAGCAGTCATCTCCTTTTTTTAACCTATCTTCAAAACATACACGGCACACACAGGACATATGCTTTATACAAACTACTCCAACTCATTTTTCCATACTTATACTATAAAAAAATACCACACATACACATTTATTCATCATATACATGCATACCACCTATATCACCAACACATCACACGCACATATAGTCCAAATTTCCTGCCCACACACATTTCTACATAGAAACACATGTGCACAGACCACCCTCAAACAGTGTATAGATGTATTAATTACTTTATCATTACTGTAACAAAGTGTCTCAAACAAGCAACTTAGGGAAGAAGGGGTTATTTTGACTCACAGTTAGTGGGTACAGGCCATCCTGGAAATCCAGCCTGCGTCAGCTCCTCCTGCAACCATTGGGTTCAAAGGGCTTAGGTAGCCCTGCCCCTCAGCAGGCAGCCTCTGATTCCTTCAGCATACATAGCCTCTCTTTGACCAGCTCCACAATATTCCTGCAGCTTTCTTCGGTGGATGTTCTATGGTTCTAGCATCTCTAAGATGCTGGGGTCTCCACTGCAACCTAAGCTTCACTTGCACAGCTTCAGACAAAGGTCTGTTAGGGTCTCTTCCCTCTGATACTCCAATCCTGCTACAAATTGGGTGGCCCAAGGAGCTCTCAAACGTCCCCCATTATCCCCTCACTCTTGCATCTTGTGTGTCCACAAGACCAGTACCACTGACAAGTTTTGCTGTCAGCTTGGGATGAAGTTGGGTCCCCTTTGGGACAAAGCTGTAGTGGCATCTATATGTCTTGGTTGCTGAATCTGAGAAAACACTTCCCTAGAAAGTTCTTTTTGAACTGGTAATCCCTTCTGAGTTCAGGCTCTTTAAAATTTTTTTTTTTCATTTCAAAAGGTATATAGGTTTATAGGTAGTGGTGGTGGTGGTGGTGGTGGTGGTCACTGTCATTGTTGTCTTCATGGTGGTGGGGGCTTGCCCTCAGGGCCCCTTTACTATTGTCCTTGTTCTGATCAGATTTCTTTTTAACAATGTTAAAGACATTAAACAATTACAAGCACTTTCTCAATACTAGCTTTTTTACAACCTTAAAATTCCCCCTTATCTTGTCAAATACCACATTTTTTCATATCAGTTTTGCTCCTGTGGTTCTCTGTCGTAGACCTGGTTAACAGTGAGAAATTACCATGACACTCCCTGGGTGCTACTTTGTGTCTTGAGATTTCTTCTGTCAAAGAAATTAGTCCTTGAAGTTTGAACACAACTTCACTTAAGATCTCAGGACCCAAGCACAAGACAGCCACATTTCCTGCCAGAATATGACCTGTGTGGGCTCTACCCAGGTTCCCAATGGACTCCTTAAAGGCCTCCTCTGTCAATGTTTCTCTTGGCATACTGATTTTTCAAACTTCCATTAGAACAACCTATTGTGCTCTGCTTAGAGCCTTCTCAGACTTTTCTGCCTCCAAGTTCCAAATCTTTGTTCATTTTCTTTTCTGCCAACTAGTTTCAAAGACTAAGAATAACACAGAATTTTGTAACAATCTTAATCCTGATACCAGTTTTCTGTATTACTTTTCTTGTTGCTGTGACAAGCTGCCAGACAAAACAAACTCAGAGGGCGGGCTTATTTTAGTTCCCAGTTTTAAGAATTCAGTCCAGGCATAGGTGGGTGAGGAAGTCCTTGGTCCAGTGAAGGCTGGATACCCCAGTGTGGGAGAAATCATAGGTGGGGATGTGAGAGTGGGAGGGTTGGTGGGACACATTCTCATAGAAGCAGGAGGAAGGGGAATGGGATGGGGGTTCTTGGGTGGGTGGGGGAATGGGGAAAGGGGATTACATTTGAAATGCAAATAAAATATCCAATAAAAAGAAAAAGAATTCAGTCCATCATGTATGGGAAGAAGTCATATTGGCGGGAATTTGAGGCATTTGGTTATCTTACTCCATCGTCATGAGGAACAGAGAGATGGCTGCTGGTGAACAGCTCATTTTCTTTTTATTTACTCAGCTTGGGACATCCGACCATTGAGTTAGGTGGCCTATATTTAAAGTGGTTTTCCCCACTTCAATGAAGCCAGTCTGGAAACTTGCTCACAGCCACTCTAAGAGGTTTGCTTTCTAGGTAATTTTAGACTTCGTCAAGTGGATGATCAATAGTCCTTGTCAAAATACACAGATCACATCTACCACACACATCATGGAAACACCACACACAGGCTGTACATCCCCCATGCAAACCTCACACATGCATGTAGTTGTACACATGCTTTTGAGTTATTCCATCTGCCCATGACCTCTTTGTCCTTACCTTTTGCACACACGAAGGTAGGCTGCACGGATAGTATTTCAGTACAGGACTTGGAGGTAAGCTGAGAGAGAGAGAGAGAGAGAGATGGGCTGGATAGTAGGCCTCAGGGAATGCAGACAGTGTTTCCACAGTCTTCCACATCCCACATACTCACCGGGTCAATGACGCCCTCCAGAGCATCGAACCCTTTGTCTACCCCAAAACAGTGATCTGGGTTGCCTGCAATATTCACCAACTATGATAGGAGAAAAAGAATTGGTTTGAACCTTCGGGCCAGGAATTAGAAGTGTGATGCAACATGTTCCCAGTCTTGTGGCAGGAACTGCTGTGCTGGGGCCATAGTGATATTAGGGCACTCACTGACTTTCATTTAGAGCCCAGACTTAACGAACGGGAAACTCTCTGGCCCACTCTGCATAAGGGGTTGGCTTACTTCATTCTAACCCTTGGGTAGGTGAAAATCCCACCCTCTTGGTATTGTATAGATGGCTTTACAACCTTGCTCTAATAGGCTACTCAGGGGCACTGCACTTGGTCACCTGGTCTGAAGTACCTGCTGTTTGCTATACATAAAAACACCCACGGTGTAAATGATTGCTCCCATTCTCCGGGCTTTTCTGGCCTAAAAAGAAAGAAGGTACTGAAAATAAATCCTCCAAATACCAGAGGCAAAGTGCTGACACCTATGGACTGGACTCACCTCTTCCATAGTGTCTTGAAATGGTTTTAACAGTAATAGCCCATCAGTAAGAGCAACAATCACGCTGATGACATTGTGGCCTACAGAAGAAACAACAAGTGGATGGGCTGGGTGGGAAAGGCTGTAGGGATTGCTTAGTGGGTGCGACTGCAGGTTCAGCATCATCCTCTGTGGTAAAGTTGGTTGTTTCTCAGTCCTTGGTCTCAGAGTGAAAAGAAGGATTTCTTTACTACCTAGTCTACAGATTAAGAGCCAGAGGGGTTTGGAACCCTACCAGCAGGCCTGGCCTCTCCTTCCCTTGCTATGGAACCTCTGTCCTAAGAGCAGTCTAGTTATTAAGCTGTAAGCCCAGCCTCTCCCTGGGCAGGTGGGGGAGCAAGGAGGGCTTTCTTTGCCGAGGATGCCCCAGTGAGACAGGTGGACTCTGGGGCCAGCTTTAGGCACATCCTTGGGAACAACTTATTAGGAACAGGAAACCCAGCAAGTCAAGCTCTGTAATGAGCATAGTAGAAAAAAATGCCATTTAGACATGTAAAAAAATAGCTTAGGATCTCCACCACACCCAAGGCTGCACCTGATAACCAGAACTCAGTGATGTCACTCACCCAAGACAACCAGACACAATTCTAGAACCCCATGATGCCCGCTGGACAGTATATAAGCAGAGACCAAGAGGATTGTTTTTCTCTGCACATCTGGAGAGATGCCACCTTGATTTGCCTTATGACTGGAGAGTCTCCTCCAGGATCCTAACCCTCAAATCAGAGACTACTGTTAGAGACTGGACCTGACCTTCGGCTAAGATATAATCACACAGGTGATGGGGCAGCCATGGGGAGATAGGCTTAGGACCAATGTTAGGAATTCAGCGTGTAAGCCTTATGTGCTGACCCTCAGCATAATAATATATAACTTTCGTTAACTATGCATGTCTACCTTCTTGCTCACTGCAAGACCACAAGTCAGAAAGCCTTAGGCAGGAGACTCAATAACATCTTGTCAAATCTTCCCACTGGATTCTACATATTTCAGACATGTACTAAAGGCCTGTAGTTCACAGGGACACAGGTCTTGACTGGCCATGGTTGATTCATGAGCTTAGGAAGCTGACCAAACAAAGTAAGAGGTAGAAGAGAAGAGTTGAGAGCCAGAAGAAAACTAAGCCCTGCACAGGGTTCTCAGTCTGCTAGGCCCTTGCGCTTTCTATTCACCAGCATGATCTGTAGGCCAAGGACCAGTGAGAACAAAGCCTACACCTGACCACATGCAGCGTCCAGGCCCTTCAGAAGCATCCCGAGTGGGGTGCTGTGTTCAGAGGGTCCTGCTGTGCAGGGAGAGGAGCACTGGCTTCAAGAGTCAGACTTGAAGAGGTCCAAGATCTGCACAAAGACCCAGCAGGGAGCTCAGCTCTGTGGATTCCGCCTTGCTGAAGGTACAGACAGCTCACCTCCCTTGATGGATTTTCGGATCTGTTCGTTTGCCTGGCAAAAAGTGAAAACAAACAAACAAACAAACACAAAAAACAAAAACAACAAAAGAAACCAATGGTGACACAGGGAGATGGCCCCAGAGGTACTCTAGACTGAACCCTCTGTAGGTGTCTGTACCTTTCTAAGTCCTTTCTGCATGTGTGTGAGTCCTTGAGGCTCTATGTCCTTCAGCACTAGAAGGCTCTTATGCATTTCGTCTCTAGAGAGAATAAAAAAGAAAGGTGGTGTGGGAGCTATCAACAGCGGCAAGACATCCCCAAGTCATCCTGTGGCCTTGCTCACTGTGCAGACCGCCTGGCTGAGAGAGGGCACCAGACAAGAGGCATTGTCTTTCCCTTCTGAGTTGGGCCTTTCTCTGTCCCTGATAGGACCCAGGGAAAGGTTTGGTTTTCATTGAGTTCATTTACATTATGGGGAACCCAGACCTTGGAGATTTGGACAGAGACCTTGCCTATTAACTCCTTGGAGAACAACAGCCTGGAATATGCATTTAAACTAGGGATTCCCAGAGCGTATCCACATTGTAAATGGGCAAAGTAATGCCAGAGTCACTCTCCTGGGCAGTCTGTTATTCACTGGGTAGGGCTGAAGGGCCATGTAAGCCTGCGGAGCTACTGACCAGTACCTATTCCCACTGTCACAGAGCTCTGGCTTGACTCCCTTCCCTCTAGTTAAAGGCAACAGCCAGACTACTTAGATATGAGCCCAACTGTGGATTCCTCAGAGAGTCAGGCCTTCAGTGCTGTCCATGAGGCATCTGTGTTGCTCCCTAGGCTAGAGGCAACATGGCCTGTCAGAACACACTGAGGCAGGCAGGGTGGGACCTGATGGTCATTCTAGGACAAGAAAGGTGGGTATGAGGTTCAGAACAATCCAATGTGAGAAGGCTAAGCAGGCATAGCAAGGTGATACTCAATAGACTCAAAGGTGGCTTCTGTTGGGGAACAGAGGACTTACCAGGGTTGAGCTTTGAGAGACCCATGCCTCGCCCAGGTATACCCCACTAGGAAATGAGATGATAATGTTCAGCATGCCCAATGGGGAGCAAACCAGGGATTTCCAACTCCAGTTCTACCTTCCTCTGTTTGCAAGCACAACCCAGTCCAGGTCTCCCTCTTGTACAGCCTAATCCAGCTCTTTCTCTGTCCTACCCTTAGCTTTCTGCCTTATCAGCACTTATCTCTCTATCTGGCTCTAGAATCTATCCTTCTGCTTGGTCTAGCCAACTGTCTTCTACAATGTTTATCCCAACCCTCCACCCAGCCCAGACTCAATTCCTCCCCTCAACCCAGGACAACCCCTTGCCCTGCTCAGCCTCTCCTATGCCCTGTTGCTACTCTGTACTCCCTACCAGAGTCACTCTCAGGAATTCTCTCTGCCCCTCGAATCTAATCAAGTCTACCAAAAACCAAGTCACAAGAGTACACTATACCAGGCCTTGCCTGGACCCTTGGGAGCCAGTCTCTTCCTGTCCAACCTCCCAGATGGACCTTGGGTACTATGTCCATAAATTTAAAGACTCTTGTCTACTCTCTGAGCCTGGCTGGTCTCCCTCAGTCCCTGCTTCTGCTTTTTCTTTAGGATGGAGGACAGAGGTTTTTCACATACCCAGTCACCCCAATCCTAAATGTCCCATACCTCTTTCCATTTCTCTAACTCAGGATGGGGTCTCTGGAAGAGCCCTCAAAGTTGACCTTCCCTCCCTCTCAGTCAGAAGCCCCAGCTTCATACCTCTGGGATTTTGGGCATACCTGGGCCACCTCTCTTTGTGGTTACCTGTTCCCATACCTTCCTGTATGGCGACTCAGTAAGGTGACTCATGACCCATCATGAGGCTTCCTTACTTATGATCACAGGGGCCCAGTGTGACCTCCTATACTCCACTACTTCCCTCAGGGTTTCCCAGCTGTTGCCCTGCTCCACTTTTCTAAGCAGAGAACGAATTGTTCACAGCAGACCACAAACAGACCATTATTCTAAAAGTACTAAGATACATACCTCACCTGGGTCCCCTCTGTTATTATAGACAGGTTGTAGGTAAGATTCAGGAGTGGAGAACTTCTAGAAGCATCGGGTCCATTCTGCTTAAGTACAGGCTCAAGGGTGCTAGTAAACTAAGGCTGGAGGTCAATTTGGGTACATAAGTCCCCTAGTAAGGGCAATGCCAGGAGACCTCAGAGGTCTCTACAAGTCCTTTGTTTCCTCAAGATCCCTGTATCCTGGCCACTAGGCTAGCTTCAGGATTTGGAGCAACACCTACCTACCTGTCTCTGGTGAGTGGCAGGATAACTTGAGCGTCTGTTGAGTAGGTAATGATGGAGAGCCGCATGTTAGGGCTGGGAACAAAGAATAACCACTGAGAACAACACACAAGATCGTCAACCTGCCAGATAGCAGACAAACACCAAGCCCCTGCTCCCACCCCATCTCTTTTGCACTGAGGACATTCAGATGTAAGGTCTTAAGGTAAAATTGGCAAAGGATTCTAAAGCCCATGGAGATATGTGGGTCCACAGAAGAGAGTCAGGACAACCCTGATCCATCCCAAGCTTCACCTCTCTTTTATTCCTCCAGACCCTTTTTCTCTTACATATGTACACACACTCACATTTGAATAGGCAAAGAGGCTCCCACAGTCCCCAGTGAGGGCATCCTCATCCCTGGACCCTGATATCAAATTCTTTGCATCTGTAGCCATTGTCTTTGTTGGGGTTTTACTGCAGTGAACAGACACCATGACCAAGGCAAGTCTTATAAAGGACAACTTTTAATTGGGGCTGGCTCACAGGTTCAGAGGTTCAGACTATTATTATCAAGGTGGGAGTATGACAGCATCTAGGCAGGCATGGTGCAGGCAGAATTGAGAGTTCTACATATTCATCTGAAGGCAGCTAGTGGAAGACTGACTTCTAGGCAGCTAGGATGAGGGTCTCAAGCCCACACCCACAGTGACACGCCAACAAGGCCACACCTCCAAATAGTGTCACTTCCTGGGCCAAACATATACAAACCATCACATCTACCTTTCTCCACCCTCCAACACTTAAGAGACTCTCTCTCTCTCTCTCTCTCTCTCTCTCTCTCTCTCTCTCTCTCTCTCTCTCT